ATGTCGGCCCTGCGCTTTTAAAAAAACACACCAAAGTTGGGGGAGAGTGTCGCGTAGCCAGCTTGTCACCACATCGGTGTTGATGGACCGCTCCTTATCGACAACTCCCCTTTGTCATCATAGGCTTTGCTGACATCTTCCACAACGTCGCTCGACGAGTCGCTATTGAGCTGCTCCACTGTCGTCGGCTTCCATGCAGACTGCTCCCCAGTTGTCAGCTTCTCTGAAATAGTCTCCCTTCATGGTTGACTTGCTCAACGCCAACCACGTCAAAACGGCAGCCGTCGATGCCACTGGCTGGCACAGAGGGGACTCTCCAATGCTCCTCTCATCGTCGGTGGCCGACATAGGTGCCTACTTAGACCAGTTGCCGACTGGCGGAGCGACCACGGAAGGTGGTGACCGACGGCGGGACATCGAGGGAACGTAGGGAGGAGGAGGTGGAGTTGAGGCATCGGCGTCAGGTTGGTCATCTTCGGTGGACTACGAGGAACTAAATTGAGGCTGGCAGTGAGTCCATCAACGGAGGAAACCAAGTCTGCACCGACGTTGGCCCATACTTTGCCTTTTTATTCCATAAGCGGCAAGGACATAGAGGATGGCGAACAACAAAGAAAGCACCCATGGCAAGCATTCAAGTCGCCTAACAACAACATGCCGTGCTACAAGAGACGGGGGGTGCTAGAACATACATTTCGCCCCAATTACACTCTCGTCTTCGACACGACATGGACCAATGACACTTTCACATATAAGGCTCGAAGCTAGATGTTCGAAGTCAAAGCAGTATCAAGAAGGGTCACGGCATCAGGAAGTTGTATGGCGACTGCTCCTTGCCGCGTGGGTGCATTCAACACCGGCCCCGCCAAGGCCCCAATCTTTGCAACATGCTGGTGACAGAGGTCCCAAGGGCCCTTAACGATGCCATGCACCCTCCCCAATACTAGCTGCACCATTAGCTGAGACTCTGCGACAACCACAGGAAACCCAGGCTCGCAGTGGCGACTTTCCCTGTTAGGGAAACCAGATTTGCACAGTTGCGAGCCTGCATCGACACCACAACGAGGCGGTGGGACGACTAATGGGCGCTCAACCCATGAGTAGCTGGCAAGTCACGCAACATATAAGGAGGAACGAGCAAAGTTGTTGCTGCCGAGGCTTCTACGACCGCAGAGGGGGCAAGAGCCTGTGACACATAAGGAACAGGCCTCGGGCGACGAACTGCAGCAAATGCACGCGTCAGAGCGACCTTCAGATTAGTGAGCAATGACTCCAGTGCTCTCTCCAACGATGATGGACTAGAACTTGCGTGGTACGAACCAGGGGACCCATTCTAGTTGCGCCAGCCCCAACCACGCCCGCGACCATCCTGAGAGGAGCGGTGTCGGAAGGAGCTGCACAATGTGGCGTGAGAGCAGACGGCTGGTGTCCAGTAGCGCCATCAGACGGACACACGGGAGATGCTGGGCAGTGCATAGGTGGCTGACATGGGCAACGATTTCGTTGTGCTGGAGACTGCTGACAACGCGAATGAGACGCTACTGAGGCGACACGCGACAAGATCGCCCATGTTGAGAGGAAGAGGATCCGCCATTGCCACCAACAGTACACGGTAACTGCGTAGAATTGCGGCTTGAGGGAGCTGTCGGAGCACATGCGGCGACCAGACCCCCACCAAACACAGGAGCCAGGAGAGGGGAGTGAATTATCCCGAAAGCGTGATCCTCCTCAAGAGTCACACCACGATCCGATCAGGAGTCACGCTTGCCACCACGAGGGGCGTACGCTGTGGCGCGCTCTCCACTGATGTCGCGTGTGTTGGAGAACAAACTTGAAGAGATCAGCGCCCCTTCCCTTCCACGAGCCCAGATTCCATCGATGTGAGATGTGGGATGGCCGTGAGAACAACTGCCAGTGACACCTGGGCAGCCAGCGGGGGGAACGGTCATCCTGCCACAGCGTGTGTGCGGACGCACGCAGGGGAGAGGCATGCGCAGGGGGAGATGAGGCCAGAGAAGTGGCAGGCAGGCGGCATAAGAGGGCGGAAGAAGGGGAGGAGCAATGAGCCCCACGTGGCTCAGGGAGCCGGTGTAGAGAGTCATGACAGTTAACGCCCCTTGCGTGGTAGGAACAGAGGAAGAGGGATGAGAGGAGGAAGTAGGAGAGGGGTAAGGATAGAAAGTCGGATAAGGAGAGAGGAGGGAGGGGGAGAGAGGAGGGAGAGGATGGGAGGAAAGAGGAAGAAGTGGGAGGGGAAGAGAGGAGGGAGTGGAAGAGAGGAGGGAAGAGGAGCAGGAGGTGGTTTTGCAAGGAGCCGCAGGTTGGGGGAAGGAAATGCAGGGCAAGGCTAATGGTGAATTGAAATGGCAGGTGGTTGGCATTTGACATGCAGTTATTAATGGAGAGGAGTTTAGTGAAGATACTTGGTAGCAGATTGGTTGTCACAACAGTATTGGGTGCCAACCCCATTGTCTGTTTTTCATGACTTAACATGAATGTCAAGTTATGGGTGATTGGCGAGTGTGAGGGGAATATGTGGCCGTCTGAATATTTTTCACCTGTCCGAGATCGGCTTGCATCAACAGTAAACACAACTGTGCTTTCCCAGAGGCCTTTCATGTAAACACAAGCTGGTACTCTATCCGGGGTAAAACTAGTCATGATCCACCATTCATCATGTATACAGCTCAGAAGCTAGAGTTCAAGATAGATGGTGACAAAGGTCAGCCTTGAATATCCATGATGGATGGATGTGCAGCATCGTGATGTCTTGATTGAATCCGACGGTCAGGAGGAGCTTGTAAGAAGCAGCAGTGCTGGTGGCTATCCAATGGAAGTGCGGCTGCAACCATTCTCCTAGAGAATGCAACTTGGAGTGTGGACTTCCCCCCAGGACACATGCTTGCTGCTGTCCAAGGAGAAAACTACTTTGGTTTGCCCATACTGCCACTGCTGCCAGTGCTGCCACTGCTGCCAGTGCTGCCACTGCTGCCAGTGCTGCCACTGCTGCTAGTGCTGCCACTTTTGCTACTGCTGCCACTGCCACTGGTGCTCCCAACGCTGCCAGTGCTGCCAGTGCTGCCAGTGCTACCAGTATTGCCGCTTTTGTCACTGCCGCCGCTACCACCAGTGCTGCCAGTGCTGCCACTATTGCCACTGCTCCCACTGTTGCCATTGCTGCCACTGCTACCACTGCTGCTACTGCTACCACTGCCCCCACTGCTGCCAATGCTACCGTTGCTGCTGCTGTTGTCACTGCTTCCAGGGCTGCCGCTGCTACCAGTACTGCCACTGCTACCACTGCTGCCAAAGCTGCCGCTGCTGCCATTTCTGCCGCTGCTGCCATTGCTGCTGCCACTGCTGCTACTGCTGCTGCTGCTGCCACTGCTGCCAGTGCCGCCAGTGCTGCCAGTGCCGCCAGTGCTGCCAGTGCTGCCAGTGCTGCCAGTGCTGCCAGTGCTGCCAATGGTGCTACTGTTGCTACTGCCACCACTGGTACCAGTGCTGCCAATGTTATTACTGCTGCCAGTGCTGCCACTGCTGCTACTGCTTCCAATGCTGCTGCTGCTGCCACCGCTGCTGCTGCCGCCGCTGCTGCCGCCGCTGCCACCGATACCGTTGCTGCCGCTAAAGTCACTGCCCCCACTGCTACCACTGCTGCCACTGCTACCGTTGCTGCCAATGTTGCCACTGCCACCACTGCTGCTATTGCTGCCGCTGCTGCCACTGCTGCTACTACTGCCACTGCTGGCACTACTGCCACTGCTGCCGGCGCTGCCAATGTTGCCAATGCTGCTACCGCCCCCACTGCTGCCAGTGCTGCCAGTGCTGCCAGTGGTGCTACTGCTGCTACTACCGCCACTGGTACCAGTGCTGCCAGTGGTGCTACTGCTGCTACTACCGCCACTGGTACCAGTGCTGCCAGTGGTGCTACTGCTGCTACTACCGCCACTGGTACCAGTGCTGCCAGTGTCATTACTGCTGCCAGCGTTGCCACTGCTGCTACTGCTTCCAGTGCTGCTGCTGCCGCCACTGCTGCTGGCCACTGGTGCTGCCACTGTTGCCAACGCTGCCACTGCTACCGTTGCTGCCGCTGTTGTCACTGCCCCCACTGCTACCACTGCTGCCACCGCTGCCACTGATGCCACTCCTCCCAATGCTGCCATTGCTTCCACTGCTTCCATTGCTGCCGTTGCTGCCGCTGCTGCCACTGCTGCCGCTGCTGCCACTGCTGCTGCTGTTGTCACTGCTGCCAGTGCTGCCGCTGCTGCCGCTGCTGCTGCTGCTGCCGCCGCTGCTGCTGCCACTGCTACCGCTGCTGCTGGTGCTGCCAATGCCACCACTGCTGCTACTGCTGCTGCTGCCACTGGCCCCACTGCCCCCACTGCTGCCACTGCTGCCAATGCTACCGTTGCTGCTGCTGTTGTCACTGCTGCCAGTGCTGTCACTGCTACCAGTACTGCCGGTGCTGCCAATGCCACCACTGCTGCTACTGCTGCCACTGCCCCCACTGCCCCCACTGCTGCCAATGCTACCGTTGCTGCTGCTGTTGTCACTGCTGCCAGTGCTACCACTGCTGCCACTGCCCCCACTTCTGTCATTGCTGCCACTGTTACCACTGCTGCCGTTGCTGCCAATGCTCCCATTGCTGCCACTGTTGTCACTGCTGCCAGTGTTGTCACTGATGCTACTGCTACCACTGCTGCCAAAGCTACTACCGTTGCCATTGTTTCCAATGCTACCACTGCTGCCACTGTTGCCGCTGTTGCCACCGCTGCCACTGTTGCCACTGCTGATACTGTTTTCACTGCTGCTATTGTCACTACTGCCACCAATGCTGCCACTGCTGCTGCTGCCACTGCTGCTGCTGCTGCTGCTGCTGCTGCTGCTGCTGCTGCTGCTGCTGCTGCTGCTGCTGCTGCTGCTGCTGCTGCTGCTGTCACTGTTTCCACTGCTGGCAGTGCTGCCACTACTACCTGACCCGCCCATACCTCCGCCCCCTATGCCTCCTCCAGGGCCCATGGCTGCTTCTGATCCGGGAGCAGATGACCCAGGTCTGTCCATGCCCCCTCCCATTCCACCTCCGGTTCCTCCGCTGCCCCTTTCACCACCACCCATTCCGCCAGCATCAATGCCATCGCCGCCCATTCCGCCGCCGCCCATTCCGCCGCCGCCCATTTCCCCACCACCAATCCCCCTCCCAGGGCCCATGGCTGCTTCAGATCCAGGAGCAAGTGATCCAGGTCCGCCCATGCCCCCTCCCATTCCACCTCCGGTTACTCCGCCACCCATACCGACCCCACCCATTCCGCCATCGTCCCTTCCTCCGCCGCCCGTTCCTCCTGCACCCATTCTGTTGTCACTCATTCCACCGCCATCCATTCCTCCGTCACCGGCCATCCCGCCACTGCCCGTTCCATCACCACCCATTCCACCTCCGGTTGCCCCACCACCCGTTTCGCCGCTGCCCATTCCATCGCCGCCCATTCCACCGCCACCAACTCTGCCACCGATTCCGCCTCCACGCAATTCGCCGCCTTCCATTTTGCCACCTCCCATTCCACCGCCGTCCATTCTGCCGCTGCCCATTTTGCCACCGCCCATTTCATCCCCGCCCATTCCACTACTGCCTATGTCGTCGTCGCCCCTTCCTCCATCATCCATGCCCCCACCAGGACCCATGGCTGCTTCTGACCCAGGAGCAGATGACCCAACTCCTCCTCCCATTCCCCTTCCGGTTCCTCCGCTGCCCATTCCACCACTGCCTGCTCTATCCCCATCATTGCCACCACCTCCCATCATTCCGCCGCCGCCCATTCCACCGGCCCCCATTCCTTCACCGGCCCCCATTCCTTCACCGGCCATTCCGTCCCCATCATTGCCACTGCCGCCCATTCTGCCGCTGCCCATTTCACCACCATCCATTCTGCCGCCTGCCATGCCCCCACCCCTTCTTCCCCCATGGCCCGTGACATCATCCATGCCCCCAGGATCCATGGCTGCTTGTGATCCGGGAACAGATGAACCAGGTCCGTCCATGCCCCCTCCCATTCCACCTCCGGTTCCTCCTCTGCCCATTCTGCCACCATCCATGATATCGCCGCCCATTTCACCGCCATCCATTCCTCCGTCGCCCATCCCACCATCGCCCATGCCGCCTTCGCCCATTCCTGTGCCGCCCATTTCACCGCTACCCTTCCCGCTGCCGCCCATTCCACCCCCATCACTGCCACCGCCGACCTTACCGCCGCCTCCAATTCCCCCGCCGCCCATGCCCCTCCCAGGGCCCATGGCTGCTTCTGACCCGGGAGCAGATGACCCTTGTCCACCCATGCCGCCCCCCATTCCACCTCTGCCGGTACCTCCGCCACCCATCCCGCCGCCGCTTATTCCGCCGTCACCCATGCCAACATCCCCCATCCCTCCACCACCCATTCTGCCCCCATCATAGTCACCACCGCCACCCTTTCTGCCTTCGCCCATTCCAACCCCATCCATTCCACCACCGCCCATTCTGATGCCGCCCATTCCACTGCCATCCATTCTGCTGCCGCCCATTATGCCACCTCCCATTCCGCCCCCGCCCCTTCTTCCTCCGCCGCTCATGCCATCATCCATGCCCCCTCCAGGACCCATGGCTGCCTCTGATCCGGGAGCAGATGACACAGGTCCGTCCATGCCCCCTCCCATGCCACCACCACCCATTCCGCCGCCCTCCATTCTGCCGCTGCCCATTCTGCCGCCACCCATTCTGCCGCTGCTCGTTTCACCGCCATCCACTGGCAGTCCACCGCCGCCCATTCCCCCACTGCCCATTCCGGCCCCACTCATTCCTCCTCCACCCATTCCATCGCCATCCCTTCCTCCACCACCTTTTCTTCCCCCACCGCCCATGCCATCATCCATGCCCCCTCCAGGGCCCATGGCTGCTTCTGATCCGGGAGCAGATGACCCTGGTCTGTCCGCACCGTGCCCCATTCCACCTCTGGTTACTCTGCCATCCATCTCGTTGCCAATCATTCCACCGTCACCCATTCCGCCGTCACCCATTCCACCCCCATCATTGCCACCACCGCCACCGCCCATTCCATCGCCACCCTTTCCGCCTACGCCCATTCTGCCCTCATCAATTCTGCCACCGCCCATTCTGCTGCCGTCCATTTCACCGCCATCCATTTTGCCGCCATCCATTTTGCCGCCATCCATTTTGCCGCCATCCATTCTGCCGCCATCCATTTTGCCGCCGCCCACTCCGCCGCCGCCCATTCCACCACCGCCTATTCCACCACCTCCGCTTCTTCCTCCGCCACCCATGCCATCATTCATGCCCCCTCCAGGGCCCATGGCTGCCTCTGATCCGGGAGCAGATGACCCAGGTCCACCCACACTGCCCCCCATTCCACCTCCGGTTCCGCTGCCGCCCATTCCGCCACCACCAGTTCCGCCGCCGCCCACTCCGCCCCCGCCCATTCCACTGCCGCCCATTCCACTGCCACCCATTCCACTGCCACCCATTCCCCCGCCACTTATTCCGCCGCCACTTATTCCGCCGCCGCCACCCGTTCCGCCACCGCCCATGCTGCCGCCGCTCTTTTCTCCGTCACCTAATTCGCCGCCGCCCATGATTCCGCCGCCTCCAGTTCCGCCTCCGCCTATTCCACCCCCGCCCATTCCACCGCCACTCGTCCCTCCGCCCCCAGTCACTGGGTCACCCTTCCCGTTCCCGCCCTTTCCGTTTCCGCCTTTGCCGCCGCCTTGCGTGTGCTTCTTACAGGTCCAGTGCCCGCAGTGCGTCCATCCGCGCACTATCCCGCGCAGATCGCCCGCGCGGAGCCCTGAGGAGAAGCGGAAGGCCAGCGCCGCGTGGGCGGAGAGCAGAACGAGCGAGAGGAGGAAAAGGGCTGTGCTAAGGTCACAGCGACGACACTGGTTCTGTGAAAACATAAATAAGCGTGTCATATCTCTTTTCAAACTTCTGGAAGATATAAAAACTTGCTGCAATGAGAAGAAAGCGCAGAGTGTTAATCAATTCCGAGTGTGCAAAGCGTTCTCAGTAGTCTCAGAAAGTGTAGGCTAGTGACTGTTTTCTGTGTGTTTCTGAAATTGGAATGAGTTGGTGATGCCAGCTGCACCGATTTGTACCATCTTCGCGTCGCCAATTTTGTGCGTCGCAAATTTTGCGCGTCGCACATTGCGAAGGTGCTCGAAATACGAGATGACTCGGCAGTCAACAGCAGCTTTGCACCAAGAAGCTGCAGCCACATGGACAACAAAACTGCCGTGTCAAAGCCAAGAAGAAACGAGTCAACCGTACTCTCATCTCGGTGACGGGAAGATTTCAACAGCCGGCGTTTCACGCCGTCATACCGTACGTACATGCCGGATGAAGCGAAACGTCAACGAAGTACACAAAACAATCCTTGATAAATGCTGCTCCGATTTTGTGCTAACACTTGACACCGAGCATCCTTAGTCACACCTACATACGAACCGTATTATTCTTACGAGCCAACAGTTAGGCTATCCTTCCGCGCCCTTACACTGACAAGCACACCCATATTCACACTACTGCCATGGCTCAACGCGCCACCAGATAAGCCTCCGTTCCTAACCGCCGTCATGACCATCGCCGTCACGACTGCACTGCGAAACTCTCCGCGACTGCTCTGCGAATCGCCTTTCGCCACTGCATTGCGAAAAAAATCTCACGACAGCACTGCGAAACGCGGACCATGGCCACGGAGTCAGTCTTCGCCGTGCGAGCACGCACCTCCGTACCGCCCATCCCTCCGTCCCTCCGCTCCAACAATCTCGCTCATTCCCCCCTCGCCAGTAGTCCCGTGACGTGTCTTCGTGACACCTCAGCATGGCACGATCTCCCTAGTTGCACACGTATAATCTCGTCTGACAGCTGTCGCTTCGCCATTGGCCAGTCTGTTACTTGCGGGACTCCGTCGGTAGCGCTAGACAGACATCAAGAAATGGATATTCGTTCGCGTTTTAGTCTGCTCCGTTACAATCAATCCCGTTTCCTGAAAGGCTCGCCTTACACTGCGCTATCCATGCAGCGGAGAGGCTGTTTATCTGCAAGCGGGACTATCTTCGAGTTATTTTTATCGAACAGATTAGAGACGTCAAGGAGGGCCTACGCAAGACAGATGCATTACTCGAAGCAACGCGGCCCTTTATCTGCAGGCGGGAACGTTAACATCAGCACAAGGCGTGGCTCGGCCAAATGCAGGGCAACCACTGAAAACGAGAATGACACAAACGGGGATACTCCTGTATCGTCCGTGCAAGTATCGGCATCACAGCCATCACTACAGCCATCGTTACCGTCCTCTCCTCCCGAATCAAATCTAGATGACGTGTCGCCAGCATGTCCGGTTCCCCATTTCACGGGACTGGGCGGGGAGATTCGTCTTCTTCGATCCGAGGAGCTGTCCGGGTATTCGACAGGCACAGCGTCTGGGCGGCCGCTGTTGGTGTATCTGCCAGGAATGGACGGCACAGGGCAGTGCCTGCAGCCGCAAATAAAATCACTGACACGTGCTGGGTACGCGGGCGTGCTGGGTACATGTGTGTGCCAGGTTGTGATGGGAGTGTGTTAATGCTTGCACATCTGCCAGGAATGGACGGCACAGGGCAGTGCCTGCAGCCGCAAATCAGATCGCTGACGCGTGCTGGGTACGTGTGTGTGTGTTCCTGTTAGGTGTGTGATGGGATGGGAGTGTTCGACAGGCACAGCGTGGGCAGCCGCTGTTGGTGTATCTGCCAGGAATGGACGGCACGGGGCAGTGCCTGCAGCCTCAAGTCAGATCGCTCACTCGTGCTGGGTACGTTTGTCTGTTACCATCAAGTGTGTGATGGGTGGTTCGTGTGTGTGCAGGGTTCGTGTGTGTGCCATGTTTGAGTCGACTAAAAAGTGCTGGGTAGGTGGGTGTGCAGGGTAGGTGGGTGTGCAGGGTAGGTGGGTGTGCAGGGTAGGTGGCGTTCCAGGTTTGTGATGGGAGTGTGCTAATGCTTGCACATCTGGAAAAGCTGGGTGTTTTCATTCATATTGCACATTGTATTCATCTGCTAGCTGCTTATGCTGGCCCCTAAGGTGGCTGCTCTGCTCTCTATTCTCGCCCCCCTTCCCCCTTCCCCCTCCCACTCCCCCCTGCACGCCCGCCTTCCCCCTTCCAGCTTTGACATCCGCGCCCTCTACATCCCCATGTCCGACCGCTCCACGTGCGGCTGTTAACCCTTATTTACCCCCCTCTTCCCCCCGCCATTCCCCCAATCCCCGCTCTTATTCCCTCCAGCTTTGACATCCGTGCCCTCTACATCTGCATGTCTGACCGCTCCACGTGACATTCCTATTCGCTTCCGCCACACCCCCCCCTCCTCTCTCCCCATCCATTCTTCTCCCCCAACCAAGCTCTTCCCCTCCCCCCTCCCAGCTTTGACATCTGCGCCCTCTACATCCTCATGTCTGACCGCTCCACGTGGCATCAGCCGACTCTTTTTTCCTCTCTCCCCCTCTCCCCCCGACGGTTGGCCCTTCCCCCTCCCCCCATACCCACTTCCCCCCAGCTTCGACATCCGCGCCCTCTACATCCCCATGTCCGACCGCTCCACGTGGCATGAGTTCATTCCTACTCGCTCCCCCCCTCCCCTCTCCCCATCCTCTTCTATACCCCCAATCGTGCTCTTCCCCCCGCCTCCCAGTTTCGACATCCGTGCCCTCTACATCCCCATGTCTGACCGCTCCACGTGACATCATCTTTATTCTCCCCCCCTCCCGTACCCCTCACCCACCGCCCTTCCCCTCCACCGTACCACCTTCCCCCTTCCAGCTTTGACATCCGTGCCCTCTACATCCCCATGTCCGACCGCTCCACGTGGCGGCAGCTGGTTCGCCGAGTCACACCGCTCATACAGCAGGCAGCCAATGAGGAGGATGGCAACGGGCGGGGGGCCACTGGGGGCGGGGGGAGCAGGGAGGTGACGGTGCTGGAGGGCAGTGGGGGGGCCAGAGGGAGTAGGAGCAGGGAGGTGACGGTGCTGGCGGAGTCGTTTGGGGCGTGCCTGGCTCTGCGCATCGCTGCTGCCAATCCCGGCCTGCTGCACCGCCTCGTGCTCGTGAGATTCCTTCCCACTGACTGTTCAAGTCGACTCAAAGAGTCACCTCGTCTGCTCAGAGCATTGCCTCTAGGGGAAAGGGGTGACTTGTGAGTCGACTCAAAGGCCTGGCTCTGCGCATCGCTGCTGCCAACCCCGGCCTGCTGCACCGCCTTGTGCTCGTGAGATGCCCTTTGGTCTTCTGACTCAATTCTCAGTTTTGACAACTAGAACGAGTTTTGAGTCAACTCGCGACTAGGCCCCATCACCACCCCCCCCCTCACCTCCTGCACCGCCTTGTGCTCACGCCACTGCCTGCCACAGTGGCTGACTGTAATGTTCCTTCCTTTCCCGTCCCGGTGTTGTCTCTCCTTCCTTGCCCCTGTTTCCGCTGCTCCTGCATCAGCCCTTCTCACGTCATACGAGCTTGGACCACAACCCACACTTGCCTTGCACTCTTCTTTCTCTCTCCTCTCACTTCCCTGCACCTCTCCTCTCCTCTCCTCTCCTCTCCTCTCCTCTCCTGCCCTCTCTGTCCCGCCCTCTCTGTCCCGCCCTCTCTGTCCCGCCCTCTCTGTCCCGCCCTCTCTGTCCCGCCCTCTCTGTCCCGCCCTCTCTGTCCCGCCCTCTCTGTCCCGCCCTCTCTGTCCCGCCCTCTCTGTCCCGCCCTCTCTGTCCCGCCCTCTCTGTCCCGCCCTCTCTGTCCCGCCCTCTCTGTCCCGCCCTCTCTGTCCCGCCCTCTCTGTCCCGCCCTCTCTGTCCCGCCCTCTCTGTCCCGCCCTCTCTGTCCCGCCCTCTCTGTCCCGCCCTCTCTGTCCCGCCCTCTCTGTCCCGCCCTCTCTGTCCCGCCCTCTCTGTCCCGCCCTCTCTGTCCCGCCCTCTCTGTCCCGCCCTCTCTGTCCCGCCCTCTCTGTCCCGCCCTCTCTGTCCCGCCCTCTCTGTCCCGCCCTCTCTGTCCCGCCCTCTCTGTCCCGCCCTCTCTGTCCCGCCCTCTCTGTCCCGCCCTCTCTGTCCCGCCCTCTCTGTCCCGCCCTCTCTGTCCCGCCCTCTCTGTCCCGCCCTCTCTGTCCCGCCCTCTCTGTCCCGCCCTCTCTGTCCCGCCCTCTCTGTCCCGCCCTCTCTGTCCCGCCCTCTCTGTCCCGCCCTCTCTGTCCCGCCCTCTCTGTCCCGCCTCTCTGTCCCGCCCTCTCTGTCCCGCCCTCTCTGTCCCGCCCTCTCTGTCCCGCCCTCTCTGTCCCGCCCTCTCTGTCCCGCCCTCTCTGTCCCGCCCTCTCTGTCCCGCCCTCTCTGTCCCGCCCTCTCTGTCCCGCCCTCTCTGTCCCGCCCTCTCTGTCCCGCCCTCTCTGTCCCGCCCTCTCTGTCCCGCCCTCTCTGTCCCGCCCTCTCTGTCCCGCCCTCTCTGTCCCGCCCTCTCTGTCCCGCCCTCTCTGTCCCGCCCTCTCTGTCCCGCCCTCTCTGTCCCGCCCTCTCTGTCCCGCCCTCTCTGTCCCGCCCTCTCTGTCCCGCCCTCTCTGTCCCGCCCTCTCTGTCCCGCCCTCTCTGTCCCGCCCTCTCTGTCCCGCCCTCTCTGTCCCGCCCTCTCTGTCCCGCCCTCTCTGTCCCGCCCTCTCTGTCCCGCCCTCTCTGTCCCGCCCTCTCTGTCCCGCCCTCTCTGTCCCGCCCTCTCTGTCCCGCCCTCTCTGTCCCGCCCTCTCTGTCCCGCCCTCTCTGTCCCGCCCTCTCTGTCCCGCCCTCTCTGTCCCGCCCTCTCTGTCCCGCCCTCTCTGTCCCGCCCTCTCTGTCCCGCCCTCTCTGTCCCGCCCTCTCTGTCCCGCCCTCTCTGTCCCGCCCTCTCTGTCCCGCCCTCTCTGTCCCGCCCTCTCTGTCCCGCCCTCTCTGTCCCGCCCTCTCTGTCCCGCCCTCTCTGTCCCGCCCTCTCTGTCCCGCCCTCTCTGTCCCGCCCTCTCTGTCCCGCCCTCTCTGTCCCGCCCTCTCTGTCCCGCCCTCTCTGTCCCCCCTCTCTGTCCCGCCCTCTCTGTCCCGCCCTCTCTGTCCCGCCCTCTCTGTCCCGCCCTCTCTGTCCCGCCCTCTCTGTCCCGCCCTCTCTGTCCCGCCCTCTCTGTCCCGCCCTCTCTGTCCCGCCCTCTCTGTCCCGCCCTCTCTGTCCCGCCCTCTCTGTCCCGCCCTCTCTGTCCCGCCCTCTCTGTCCCGCCCTCTCTGTCCCGCCCTCTCTGTCCCCGCCCTCTCTGTCCCGCCCTCTCTGTCCCGCCCTCTCTGTCCCGCCCTCTCTGTCCCGCCCTCTCTGTCCCGCCCTCTCTGTCCCGCCCTCTCTGTCCCGCCCTCTCTGTCCCGCCCTCTCTGTCCCGCCCTCTCTGTCCCGCCCTCTCTGTCCCGCCCTCTCTGTCCCGCCCTCTCTGTCCCGCCCTCTCTGTCCCGCCCTCTCTGTCCCGCCCTCTCTGTCCCGCCCTCTCTGTCCCGCCCTCTCTGTCCCGCCCTCTCTGTCCCGCCCTCTCTGTCCCGCCCTCTCTGTCCCGCCCTCTCTGTCCCGCCCTCTCTGTCCCGCCCTCTCTGTCCCGCCCTCTCTGTCCCGCCCTCTCTGTCCCGCCCTCTCTGTCCCGCCCTCTCTGTCCCGCCCTCTCTGTCCCGCCCTCTCTGTCCCGCCCTCTCTGTCCCGCCCTCTCTGTCCGCCCTCTCTGTCCCGCCCTCTCTGTCCCGCCCTCTCTGTCCCGCCCTCTCTGTCCCGCCCTCTCTGTCCCGCCCTCTCTGTCCCGCCCTCTCTGTCCCGCCCTCTCTGTCCCGCCCTCTCTGTCCCGCCCTCTCTGTCCCGCCCTCTCTGTCCCGCCCTCTCTGTCCCGCCCTCTCTGTCCCGCCCTCTCGTCCCGCCCTCTCTGTCCCGCCCTCTCTGTCCCGCCCTCTCTGTCCCGCCCTCTCTGTCCCGCCCTCTCTGTCCCGCCCTCTCTGTCCCGCCCCCTCTCTGTCCCGCCCTCTCTGTCCCGCCCTCTCTGTCCCGCCCTCTCTGTCCCGCCCTCTCTGTCCCGCCCTCTCTGTCCCGCCCTCTCTGTCCCGCCCTCTCTGTCCCGCCCTCTCTGTCCCGCCCTCTCTGTCCCGCCCTCTCTGTCCCGCCCTCTCTGTCCCGCCCTCTCTGTCCCGCCCTCTCTGTCCCGCCCTCTCTGTCCCCCCTCTCTGTCCCGCCCTCTCTGTCCGCCCTCTCTGTCCCGCCCTCTCTGTCCCGCCCTCTCTGTCCCCCCTCTCTGTCCCGCCCTCTCTGTCCCGCCCTCTCTGTCCCGCCCTCTCTGTCCCGCCCTCTCTGTCCCGCCCTCTCTGTCCCGCCCCCTCTGTCCCGCCTCTCTGTCCCGCCCTCTCTGTCCCGCCCCTCTCTGTCCCGCCCTCTCTGTCCCGCCCTCTCTGTCCCGCCCTCTCTGTCCCGCCCTCTCTGTCCCGCCCTCTCTGTCCCGCCCTCTCTGTCCCGCCCTCTCTGTCCCGCCCCCTCTCTGTCCCGCCCTCTCTGTCCCGCCCTCTCTGTCCCGCCCTCTCTGTCCGCCCTCTCTGTCCCGCCCTCTCTGTCCCGCCCTCTCTGTCCCGCCCTCTCTGTCCCGCCCTCTCTGTCCCGCCCTCTCTGTCCCGCCCTCTCTGTCCCGCCCTCTCTGTCCCGCCCTCTCTGTCCCGCCCTCTCTGTCCCGCCCTCTCTGTCCCGCCCTCTCTGTCCCGCCCTCTCTGTCCCGCCCTCTCTGTCCCGCCCTCTCTGTCCCGCCCTCTCTGTCCCGCCCTCTCTGTCCCGCCCTCTCTGTCCCGCCCTCTCTGTCCCGCCCTCTCTGTCCCGCCCTCTCTGTCCCGCCCCTCTCTGTCCCGCCCTCTCTGTCCCGCCCTCTCTGTCCCGCCCTCTCTGTCCCGCCCTCTCTGTCCCGCCCTCTCTGTCCCGCCCTCTCTCTGTCCCGCCCTCTCTGTCCCGCCCTCTCTGTCCCGCCCTCTCTGTCCCGCCCTCTCTGTCCCGCCCTCTCTGTCCCGCCCTCTCTGTCCCGCCCTCTCTGTCCCGCCCCCTCTGTCCCGCCCTCTCTGTCCCGCCCTCTCTGTCCCGCCCTCTCTGTCCCGCCCTCTCTGTCCCGCCCCTCTCTGTCCCGCCCTCTCTGTCCCGCCCTCTCTGTCCCGCCTCTCTGTCCCGCCCCTCTCTGTCCCGCCCTCTCTGTCCCGCCCTCTCTGTCCCGCCCTCTCTGTCCCGCCCTCTCTGTCCCGCCCTCTCTGTCCCGCCCTCTCTGTCCCGCCCTCTCTGTCCCGCCCTCTCTGTCCCGCCCTCTCTGTCCCGCCCTCTCTGTCCCGCCTCTCTCTGTCCGCCCTCTCTGTCCCGCCCTCTCTGTCCCGCCCTCTCTGTCCCGCCCTCTCTGTCCCGCCCTCTCTGTCCCGCTCTCTGTCCCGCCCTCTCTGTCCCGCCCTCTCTGTCCCGCCCTCTCTGTCCCGCCCTCTCTGTCCCGCCCTCTCTGTCCCGCCCTCTCTGTCCCGCCCTCTCTGTCCCGCCCTCTCTGTCCCGCCCTCTCTGTCCCGCCCTCCTCTCTGTCCCGCCCTCTCTGTCCCGCCCTCTCTGTCCCGCCCTCTCTGTCCCGCCCTCTCTGTCCCGCCCTCTCTGTCCCGCCTCTCTGTCCCGCCCTCTCTGTCCCGCCCCTCTCTGTCCCGCCCTCTCTGTCCCGCCCCTCTCTGTCCCGCCCTCTCTGTCCCGCCCTCTCTGTCCCGCCCTCTCTGTCCCGCCCTCTCTGTCCCGCCCTCTCTGTCCCGCCCCTCTCTGTCCCGCCCTCTCTGTCCCCCCTCTCTGTCCCGCCCTCTCTGTCCCGCCCTCTCTGTCCCGCCCTCTCTGTCCCGCCCTCTCTGTCCCGCCCTCTCTGTCCCGCCCTCTCTGTCCCGCCCTCTCTGTGTCCCGCCCTCTTCTGTCCCGCCCTCTCTGTCCCGCCTCCTCTGTCCCGCCCTCTCTGTCCCGCCCTCTCTGTCCCGCCCTCTCTGTCCCGCCCTCTCTGTCCGCCCTCTCTGTCCCGCCCTCTCTGTCCCGCCCCTCTCTGTCCCGCCCCTCTCTGTCCCGCCCTCTCTGTCCCGCCCTCCTCTCTGTCCCGCCCTCTCTGTCCCGCCCTCTCTGTCCCGCCCTCTCTGTCCCGCCCTCTCTGTCCCGCCCTCTCTGTCCCGCCCTCTCTGTCCCGCCCTCTCTGTCCCGCCCTCTCTGTCCCGCCCCTCTCTGTCCCGCCCTCTCTGTCCCGCCCCCTCTCTGTCCCGCCCTCTCTGTCCCGCCCTCTCTGTCCCGCCCTCTCTGTCCCGCCCTCTCTGTCCCGCCCTCTCTGTCCCGCCCTCTCTGTCCCGCCCTCTCTGTCCCGCCCTCTCTGTCCCGCCCTCTCTGTCCCGCCCTCTCTGTCCCGCCCTCTCTGTCCCGCCCTCTCTGTCCCGCCCTCTCTGTCCCGCCCTCTCTGTCCCGCCCTCTCTGTCCCGCCCTCTTGTCCCGCCCTCTCTGTCCCGCCCTCTCTGTCCCGCCCTCTCTGTCCCGCCCTCTCTGTCCGCCCTCTCTGTCCCGCCCTCTCTGTCCCGCCTCTCTGTCCCGCCCTCTCTGTCCCGCCCTCTCTGTCCCGCCCTCTCTGTCCCGCCCTCCTGTCCCGCCCTCTCTGTCCCGCCCTCTCTGTCCGCCCTCTCTGTCCCGCCCTCTCTGTCCGCCCTCTCGTCCCGCCCTCTCTGTCCCGCCCCTCTGTCCCGCCCTCTCTGTCCCGCCCCTCTGTCCCGCCCTCTCTGTCCCGCCCTCTCTGTCCCGCCCTCTCTGTCCCCCCTCTCTGTCCCGCCCTCTCTGTCCCCCCTCTCTGTCCCGCCCTCTCTGTCCCGCCCTCTCTGTCCCGCCCTCTCTGTCCCGCCCTCTCTGTCCCGCCCTCTCTGTCCCGCCCTCTCTGTCCCGCCCTCTCTGTCCCGCCCTCTCTGTCCCGCCCTCTCTGTCCCGCCCTCTCTGTCCCGCCCTCTCTGTCCCGCCCTCTCTGTCCCGCCCTCTCTGTCCCGCCCTCTCTGTCCCGCCCTCTCTGTCCCGCCCTCTCTGTCCCGCCCTCTCTGTCCCGCCCTCTCTGTCCCGCCCTCTCTGTCCCGCCCTCTCTGTCCCGCCCTCTCTGTCCCGCCCTCTCTGTCCCGCCCTCTCTGTCCCGCCCTCTCTGTCCCGCCCTCTCTGTCCCGCCCTCTCTGTCCCGCCCTCTCTGTCCCGCCCTCTCTGTCCCGCCCTCTCTGTCCCGCCCTCTCTGTCCCGCCCTCTCTGTCCCGCCCTCTCTGTCCCGCCCTCTCTGTCCCGCCCTCTCTGTCCCGCTCTCTGTCCCGCCCTCTCTGTCCCGCTCTCTGTCCCGCCCTCTCTGTCCCGCCCTCTCTGTCCCGCCCCTCTGTCCCGCCCTCTCTGTCCCGCCCCTCTGTCCCGCCCTCTCTGTCCCGCCCTCTCTGTCCCGCCCTCTCTGTCCCGCCCTCTCTTCCCGCCCTCTCTGTCCCGCCCTCTCTTCCCGCCCTCTCTGTCCCGCCCTCTCTGTCCCGCCCTCTCTGTCCCGCCTCTCTGTCCCGCCCTCTCTGTCCCGCCTCTCTGTCCCGCCCTCTCTGTCCCGCCCTCTCTGTCCCGCCCTCTCTGTCCCGCCCTCTCTGTCCCGCCCTCTCTGTCCCGCCCTCTCTGTCCCGCCCTCTCTGTCCCGCCCTCTCTGTCCCGCCCTCTCTGTCCCGCCCTCTCTGTCCCGCCCTCTCTGTCCCGCCCTCTCTGTCCCGCCTCTCTGTCCCGCCCTCTCTGTCCCGCCTCTCTGTCCCGCCCTCTCTGTCCCGCCCTCTCTGTCCCGCCCTCTCTGTCCCGCCCTCTCTGTCCCGCCCTCTCTGTCCCGCCCTCTCTGTCCCGCCCTCTCTGTCCCGCCTCTCTGTCCCGCCCTCTCTGTCCCGCCTCTCTGTCCCGCCCTCTCTGTCCCGCCCTCTCTGTCCCGCCCTCTCTGTCCCGCCCTCTCTGTCCCGCCCTCTCTGTCCCGCCCTCTCTGTCCGCCCTCTCTGTCCCGCCCTCTCTGTCCGCCCTCTCTGTCCCGCCCTCTCTGTCCCGCCCTCTCTGTCCCGCCCTCTCTGTCCCGCCCTCTCTGTCCCGCCCTCTCTGTCCCGCCCTCTCTGTCCCGCCCTCTCTGTCCCGCCCTCTCTGTCCCGCCCTCTCTGTCCCGCCCTCTCTGTCCCGCCCTCTCTGTCCCGCCCTCTCTGTCCCGCCCTCTCTGTCCCGCCCTCTCTGTCCCGCCCTCTCTGTCCCGCCCTCTCTGTCCCGCCCTCTCTGTCCCGCCCTCTCTGTCCCGCCCTCTCTGTCCCGCCCTCTCTGTCCCGCCCTCTCTGTCCCGCCCTCTCTGTCCCGCCCTCTCTGTCCCGCCCTCTCTGTCCCGCCCTCTCTGTCCCGCCCTCTCTGTCCCGCCCTCTCTGTCCCGCCCTCTCTGTCCCGCCCTCTCTGTCCCGCCCTCTCTGTCCCGCCCTCTCTGTCCCGCCCTCTCTGTCCCGCCCTCTCTGTCCCGCCCTCTCTGTCCCGCCCTCTCTGTCCCGCCCTCTCTGTCCCGCCCTCTCTGTCCCGCCCTCTCTGTCCCGCCCTCTCTGTCCCGCCCTCTCTGTCCCGCCCTCTCTGTCCCGCCCTCTCTGTCCCGCCCTCTCTGTCCCGCCCTCTCTGTCCCCCCTCTCTGTCCCGCCCTCTCTGTCCCCCCTCTCTGTCCCGCCCTCTCTGTCCCGCCCTCTCTGTCCCGCCCTCTCTGTCCCGCCCTCTCTGTCCCGCCCTCTCTGTCCCGCCCTCTCTGTCCCGCCCTCTCTGTCCCGCCCTCTCTGTCCCGCCCTCTCTGTCCCGCCCTCTCTGTCCCGCCCTCTCTGTCCCGCCCTCTCTGTCCCGCCCTCTCTGTCCCGCCCCTCTGTCCCGCCCTCTCTGTCCCGCCCCTCTGTCCCGCCCTCTCTGTCCCGCCCTCTCTGTCCCGCCCTCTCTGTCCCGCCCTCTCTGTCCCGCCCTCTCTGTCCCGCCCTCTCTGTCCCGCCCTCTCTGTCCCGCCCTCTCTGTCCCGCCCTCTCTGTCCCGCCTCTCTGTCCCGCCCTCTCTGTCCCGCCTCTCTGTCCCGCCCTCTCTGTCCCGCCCTCTCTGTCCCGCCCTCTCTGTCCCGCCCTCTCTGTCCCGCCCTCTCTGTCCCGCCCTCTCTGTCCCGCCCTCTCTGTCCCCCCTCTCTGTCCCGCCCTCTCTGTCCCCCCTCTCTGTCCCCCCTCTCTGTCCCGCCCTCTCTGTCCCCCCTCTCTGTCCCGCCCTCTCTGTCCCGCCCTCTCTGTCCCCCTCTCTGTCCCGCCCTCTCTGTCCCCCTCTCTGTCCCGCCCTCTCTGTCCCGCCCTCTCTGTCCCGCCCTCTCTGTCCCGCCCTCTCTGTCCCGCCCTCTCTGTCCCGCCCTCTCTGTCCCGCCCTCTCTGTCCCGCCCTCTCTGTCCCGCCCTCTCTGTCCCGCCCTCTCTGTCCCGCCCTCTCTGTCCCGCCCTCTCTGTCCCGCCCTCTCTGTCCCGCCCTCTCTGTCCCGCCCTCTCTGTCCCGCCCTCTCTGTCCCGCCCTCTCTGTCCCGCCCTCTCTGTCCCGCCCTCTCTGTCCCGCCCTCTCTGTCCCGCCCTCTCTGTCCCGCCCTCTCTGTCCCGCCCTCTCTGTCCCGCCCTCTCTGTCCCGCCCTCTCTGTCCCGCCCTCTCTGTCCCGCCCTCTCTGTCCCGCCCTCTCTGTCCCGCCCTCTCTGTCCCGCCCTCTCTGTCCCGCCCTCTCTGTCCCGCCCTCTCTGTCCCGCCCTCCTGTCCGCCCTCTCTGTCCCGCCCTCCTGTCCGCCCTCTCTGTCCCGCCCTCTCTGTCCCGCCCTCTCTGTCCCGCCCCTCTCCCGCCCTCTCTGTCCCGCCCCTCTCCCGCCCCTCTGTCCCGCCCTCTCTGTCCCGCCCCTCTGTCCCGCCCTCTCTGTCCCGCCCTCTCTGTCCCGCCCTCTCTGTCCCGCCCTCTCTGCCCGCCTCTCTGTCCCGCCCTCTCTGCCCGCCTCTCTGTCCCGCCCTCTCTGTCCCGCCCTCTCTGTCCCGCCCTCTCTGTCCCGCCCTCTCTGTCCCGCCCTCTCTGTCCCGCCCTCTCTGTCCCGCCTCTCTGTCCCGCCCTCTCTGTCCCGCCTCTCTGTCCCGCCCTCTCTGTCCCGCCCTCTCTCCCGCCCTCTCTGTCCCGCCCTCTCTCCCGCCCTCTCTGTCCCGCCCTCTCTGTCCCGCCCTCTCTGTCCCGCCCTCTCTGTCCCGCCCTCTCTGTCCCGCCCTCTCTGTCCCGCCCTCTCTGTCCCGCCCTCTCTGTCCCGCCCTCTCTGTCCCGCCCTCTCTGTCCCGCCCTCTCTGTCCCGCCCTCTCTGTCCCGCCCTCTCTGTCCCGCCCTCTCTGTCCCGCCCTCTCTGTCCCGCCCTCTCTGTCCCGCCCTCTCTGTCCCGCCCTCTCTGTCCCGCCCTCTCTGTCCCGCCCTCTCTGTCCCGCCCTCTCTGTCCCGCCCTCTCTGTCCCGCCCTCTCTGTCCCGCCCTCTCTGTCCCGCCCTCTCTGTCCCGCCCTCTCTGTCCCGCCCTCTCTGTCCCGCCCTCTCTGTCCCGCCCTCTCTGTCCCGCCCTCTCTGTCCCGCCCTCTCTGTCCCGCCCTCTCTGTCCCGCCCTCTCTGTCCCGCCCTCTCTGTCCCGCCCTCTCTGTCCCGCCCTCTCTGTCCCGCCCTCTCTGTCCCGCCCTCTCTGTCCCGCCCTCTCTGTCCCGCCCTCTCTGTCCCGCCCTCTCTGTCCCGCCCTCTCTGTCCCGCCCTCTCTGTCCCGCCCTCTCTGTCCCGCCCTCTCTGTCCCGCCCTCTCTGTCCCGCCCTCTCTGTCCCGCCCTCTCTGTCCCGCCCTCTCTGTCCCGCCCTCTCTGTCCCGCCCTCTCTGTCCCGCCCTCTCTGTCCCGCCCTCTCTGTCCCGCCCTCTCTGTCCCGCCCTCTCTGTCCCGCCCTCTCTGTCCCGCCCTCTCTGTCCCGCCCTCTCTGTCCCGCCCTCTCTGTCCCGCCCTCTCTGTCCCGCCCTCTCTGTCCCGCCCTCTCTGTCCCGCCCTCTCTGTCCCGCCCTCTCTGTCCCGCCCTCTCTGTCCCGCCCTCTCTGTCCCGCCCTCTCTGTCCCGCCCTCTCTGTCCCGCCCTCTCTGTCCCGCCCTCTCTGTCCCGCCCTCTCTGTCCCGCCCTCTCTGTCCCGCCCTCTCTGTCCCGCCCTCTCTGTCCCGCCCTCTCTGTCCCGCCCTCTCTGTCCCGCCCTCTCTGTCCCGCCCTCTCTGTCCCGCCCTCTCTGTCCCGCCCTCTCTGTCCCGCCCTCTCTGTCCCGCCCTCTCTGTCCCGCCCTCTCTGTCCCGCCCTCTCTGTCCCGCCCTCTCTGTCCCGCCCTCTCTGTCCCGCCCTCTCTGTCCCGCCCTCTCTGTCCCGCCCTCTCTGTCCCGCCCTCTCTGTCCCGCCCTCTCTGTCCCGCCCTCTCTGTCCCGCCCTCTCTGTCCCGCCCTCTCTGTCCCCGCCCTCTCTGTCCCGCCCTCTCTGTCCCCTCTCTGTCCCGCCCTCTCTGTCCCGCCCTCTCTGTCCCGCCCTCTCTGTCCCGCCCTCTCTGTCCCGCCCTCTCTGTCCCGCCCTCTCTGTCCCGCCCTCTCTGTCCCGCCCTCTCTGTCCCGCCCTCTCTGTCCCGCCCTCTCTGTCCCGCCCTCTCTGTCCCGCCCTCTCTGTCCCGCCCCTCTCTGTCCCGCCCTCTCTGTCCCGCCCTCTCTGTCCCGCCCTCTCTGTCCCGCCCTCTCTGTCCCGCCCTCTCTGTCCCGCCCTCTCTGTCCCGCCCTCTCTGTCCCGCCCTCTCTGTCCCGCCCTCTCTGTCCCGCCCTCTCTGTCCCGCCCTCTCTGTCCCGCCCTCTCTGTCCCGCCCTCTCTGTCCCGCCCTCTCTGTCCCGCCCTCTCTGTCCCGCCCTCTCTGTCCCGCCCTCTCTGTCCCGCCCTCTCTGTCCCGCCCTCTCTGTCCCGCCCTCTCTGTCCCGCCCTCTCTGTCCCGCCCTCTCTGTCCCGCCCTCTCTGTCCCGCCCTCTCTGTCCCGCCCTCTCTGTCCCGCCCTCTCTGTCCCGCCCTCTCTGTCCCGCCCTCTCTGTCCCGCCCTCTCTGTCCCGCCCTCTCTGTCCCGCCCTCTCTGTCCCGCCCTCTCTGTCCCGCCCTCTCTGTCCCGCCCTCTCTGTCCCGCCCTCTCTGTCCCGCCCTCTCTGTCCCGCCCTCTCTGTCCCGCCCTCTCTGTCCCGCCCTCTCTGTCCCGCCCTCTCTGTCCCGCCCTCTCTGTCCCGCCCTCTCTGTCCCGCCCTCTCTGTCCCGCCCTCTCTGTCCCGCCCTCTCTGTCCCGCCCTCTCTGTCCCGCCCTCTCTGTCCCGCCCTCTCTGTCCCGCCCTCTCTGTCCCGCCCTCTCTGTCCCGCCCTCTCTGTCCCGCCCTCTCTGTCCCGCCCTCTCTGTCCCGCCCTCTCTGTCCCGCCCTCTCTGTCCCGCCCTCTCTGTCCCGCCCTCTCTGTCCCGCCCTCTCTGTCCCGCCCTCTCTGTCCCGCCCTCTCTGTCCCGCCCTCTCTGTCCCGCCCTCTCTGTCCCGCCCTCTCTGTCCCGCCCTCTCTGTCCCGCCCTCTCTGTCCCGCCCTCTCTGTCCCGCCCTCTCTGTCCCGCCCTCTCTGTCCCGCCCTCTCTGTCCCGCCCTCTCTGTCCCGCCCTCTCTGTCCCGCCCTCTCTGTCCCGCCCTCTCTGTCCCGCCCTCTCTGTCCCGCCCTCTCTGTCCCGCCCTCTCTGTCCCGCCCTCTCTGTCCCGCCCTCTCTGTCCCGCCCTCTCTGTCCCGCCCTCTCTGTCCCGCCCTCTCTGTCCCGCCCTCTCTGTCCCGCCCTCTCTGTCCCGCCCTCTCTGTCCCGCCCTCTCTGTCCCGCCCTCTCTGTCCCGCCCTCTCTGTCCCGCCCTCTCTGTCCCGCCCTCTCTGTCCCGCCCTCTCTGTCCCGCCCTCTCTGTCCCGCCCTCTCTGTCCCGCCCTCTCTGTCCCGCCCTCTCTGTCCCGCCCTCTCTGTCCCGCCCTCTCTGTCCCGCCCTCTCTGTCCCGCCCTCTCTGTCCCGCCCTCTCTGTCCCGCCCTCTCTGTCCCGCCCTCTCTGTCCCGCCCTCTCTGTCCCGCCCTCTCTGTCCCGCCCTCTCTGTCCCGCCCTCTCTGTCCCGCCCTCTCTGTCCCGCCCTCTCTGTCCCGCCCTCTCTGTCCCGCCCTCTCTGTCCCGCCCTCTCTGTCCCGCCCTCTCTGTCCCGCCCTCTCTGTCCCGCCCTCTCTGTCCCGCCCTCTCTGTCCCGCCCTCTCTGTCCCGCCCTCTCTGTCCCGCCCTCTCTGTCCCGCCCTCTCTGTCCCGCCCTCTCTGTCCCGCCCTCTCTGTCCCGCCCTCTCTGTCCCGCCCTCTCTGTCCCGCCCTCTCTGTCCCGCCCTCTCTGTCCCGCCCTCTCTGTCCCGCCCTCTCTGTCCCGCCCTCTCTGTCCCGCCCTCTCTGTCCCGCCCTCTCTGTCCCGCCCTCTCTGTCCCGCCCTCTCTGTCCCGCCCTCTCTGTCCCGCCCTCTCTGTCCCGCCCTCTCTGTCCCGCCCTCTCTGTCCCGCCCTCTCTGTCCCGCCCTCTCTGTCCCGCCCTCTCTGTCCCGCCCTCTCTGTCCCGCCCTCTCTGTCCCGCCCTCTCTGTCCCGCCCTCTCTGTCCCGCCCTCTCTGTCCCGCCCTCTCTGTCCCGCCCTCTCTGTCCCGCCCTCTCTGTCCCGCCCTCTCTGTCCCGCCCTCTCTGTCCCGCCCTCTCTGTCCCGCCCTCTCTGTCCCGCCCTCTCTGTCCCGCCCTCTCTGTCCCGCCCTCTCTGTCCCGCCCTCTCTGTCCCGCCCTCTCTGTCCCGCCCTCTCTGTCCCGCCCTCTCTGTCCCGCCCTCTCTGTCCCGCCCTCTCTGTCCCGCCCTCTCTGTCCCGCCCTCTCTGTCCCGCCCTCTCTGTCCCGCCCTCTCTGTCCCGCCCTCTCTGTCCCGCCCTCTCTGTCCCGCCCTCTCTGTCCCGCCCTCTCTGTCCCGCCCTCTCTGTCCCGCCCTCTCTGTCCCGCCCTCTCTGTCCCGCCCTCTCTGTCCCGCCCTCTCTGTCCCGCCCTCTCTGTCCCGCCCTCTCTGTCCCGCCCTCTCTGTCCCGCCCTCTCTGTCCCGCCCTCTCTGTCCCGCCCTCTCTGTCCCGCCCTCTCTGTCCCGCCCTCTCTGTCCCGCCCTCTCTGTCCCGCCCTCTCTGTCCCGCCCTCTCTGTCCCGCCCTCTCTGTCCCGCCCTCTCTGTCCCGCCCTCTCTGTCCCGCCCTCTCTGTCCCGCCCTCTCTGTCCCGCCCTCTCTGTCCCGCCCTCTCTGTCCCGCCCTCTCTGTCCCGCCCTCTCTGTCCCGCCCTCTCTGTCCCGCCCTCTCTGTCCCGCCCTCTCTGTCCCGCCCTCTCTGTCCCGCCCTCTCTGTCCCGCCCTCTCTGTCCCGCCCTCTCTGTCCCGCCCTCTCTGTCCCGCCCTCTCTGTCCCGCCCTCTCTGTCCCGCCCTCTCTGTCCCGCCCTCTCTGTCCCGCCCTCTCTGTCCCGCCCTCTCTGTCCCGCCCTCTCTGTCCCGCCCTCTCTGTCCCGCCCTCTCTGTCCCGCCCTCTCTGTCCCGCCCTCTCTGTCCCGCCCTCTCTGTCCCGCCCTCTCTGTCCCGCCCTCTCTGTCCCGCCCTCTCTGTCCCGCCCTCTCTGTCCCGCCCTCTCTGTCCCGCCCTCTCTGTCCCGCCCTCTCTGTCCCGCCCTCTCTGTCCCGCCCTCTCTGTCCCGCCCTCTCTGTCCCGCCCTCTCTGTCCCGCCCTCTCTGTCCCGCCCTCTCTGTCCCGCCCTCTCTGTCCCGCCCTCTCTGTCCCGCCCTCTCTGTCCCGCCCTCTCTGTCCCGCCCTCTCTGTCCCGCCCTCTCTGTCCCGCCCTCTCTGTCCCGCCCTCTCTGTCCCGCCCTCTCTGTCCCGCCCTCTCTGTCCCGCCCTCTCTGTCCCGCCCTCTCTGTCCCGCCCTCTCTGTCCCGCCCTCTCTGTCCCGCCCTCTCTGTCCCGCCCTCTCTGTCCCGCCCTCTCTGTCCCGCCCTCTCTGTCCCGCCCTCTCTGTCCCGCCCTCTCTGTCCCGCCCTCTCTGTCCCGCCCTCTCTGTCCCGCCCTCTCTGTCCCGCCCTCTCTGTCCCGCCCTCTCTGTCCCGCCCTCTCTGTCCCGCCCTCTCTGTCCCGCCCTCTCTGTCCCGCCCTCTCTGTCCCGCCCTCTCTGTCCCGCCCTCTCTGTCCCGCCCTCTCTGTCCCGCCCTCTCTGTCCCGCCCTCTCTGTTCCCCCTTCTCTCACCATCGCAGAGTGCTATTTGTGGGCAACCACACCATCTATGGCTTCTACATGACTCTTGATTCTTGAGTCGACTCAAAGCCCCTCTCTATCCCGCCCTCTCTGCTCTGCTCCTGCTTTCTCACCATCAGCTGGTCCAGCATCCCAATCGCAGTGTGCTGTTTGTGGGGAATCACACCATCTACGGCTTTTATGGCCTTTGAGTCAATGGAAAACCCCTCCCTTTCTCTGCCACTCTGTCCTCCTCCCCTACCCCCCTCTCCCCGCCCTCCTCTCACCATCAGCTGGTCCAGCATCCCAACCGCAGTGTTCTGTTTGTGGGCAACCACACCATCTACGGCTTCTATTTTTGAGTTGACTCAAAACCCCTCTCTTTCCCTCCCACGCTGTCCCCCGTCTCTTCTTCACGCCATCAGCTGGCCCGGCATCCCAATCGCAGTGTGCTGTTTGTGGGGAATCACACCATCTACGGCTTTTATGACACGCCTCTGCTGCTCTATGAAGTGAGTGTGTGTGTGACACTGTGACACCTGCTTGCTTCCTAGTCTGCTCTCCCCCACTCTCACACCATCTACGGCTTTTATGACACGCCCCTGCTGCTATATGAAGTGAGTGTGTGTGTGCACTACAACACCTGCTTGCTTCCTAGTCTGCTCTCCCCCTCTCTCACACCATCTACGGCTTTTATGACACGCCTCTGCTGCTCTATGAAGTGAGTGTGTGAGACACAGCACCTTCTGCTGCTGCTGCATGAAGTGAGAGTGTGCGGGAGTAGACCGTGCTGGCGGGAGGGACGTTGGGTTGCCAGTTTTGTTGCCATGCTACTTGTGTTCAATTTAGGCATGGACAGAACAGGTCAGGTTAGGGCGAGTCTGGTAAAATCACCCGACCCAGGGATCTGGCTGGGTCGGGTCGCTTCTCAAAAGCTACTCCAGTGGGCTTGCCCCATCCAGCTCAACCCGACCCGACTCAACCAGACCCGACCCGACCCGACCCAACCAGACCTGATCTGACCCGACCCGAACCGACCCCCTCGGGTGAGGATTCACCAAGCCCGTCGCTGACTTTTGCCCAAGCGAGGGTAATCTCGTCAACACTCCTCTCTTCCCCTCTATTCCCCTCTCCTCTCCTCTCCTCTCCTCTCCTCTCCTCTCCTCTCCTCTCCTCTCCTCTCCTCTTCTCCCCCTCCCTCTCCCCTCTTCTACCCTTTTCCTCGCCTTCCCCCCTCTCCTCCTTGCACATGTGATGAGGGGATTTTAGTTTCACTGTCTTGCACATTGCTCCCTCCCCTCCCCCTCCCTCCGCAGCTGTACATGAGGGGATTCAAGTGTCGGTGTCTTGCGCATCCCAGCTTCTGGTTGCAGGAATCTCTGGCAGAGCTCGTGGAAAGGTGAGCCTATATGCTGTCAGGTTCACTGCGGTGCAGTCAGGTGCTGCTTCCATCGCTGTCTTGCGCACCCCAGCTTCTGGCTCCAGGATTCTCTGGCAGAGCTCGTGGAAAGGTGAGGTGGGTTGTGGTGCTGGTTCAAGTGAGGTGGGTTGTGGTGCTGGTGAAAATGGTGGGCTCGGGACGTGTTGTGGGAAGTTCTTTCAGGTACGCAACTAAGAAATGTGTCCAGGGGTATTTAAGTTGTTGCGGTGAAGTGAGGTGAGGTGGGGTGAGGTGAGGTGAGGTGAGGTGAGGTGAGGTGAGGTGATGTGTTACGTGAGGAGATACCATCCCTACTACCCATGTCATCTCATTCCAACCATACCATCTCGTCCCACCCGTGCCATCCCATCCCCCCCATGCCATCTCATACTACCCATGCTATCCCATCCCAACCATACCATCTCGTACCACCCATGCCATCCCATCTCCACTCCCTTGCAGCTTTGGTCATGTCAAGGCGTCACCCCGTGCCTTATACGAGCTGCTCAAAGTACGTTGCCTGGGGTTTGTTTTGTAGTCCTAAGAACCACACAAGTTGATGGAAGCAAGCCCTCCTCAGCCCACCTGTCCGCTACTGTCAGCTTTGGTCATGTCGAGGCATCGCCCCGTGCCTTATACGAGCTGCTCAAAGTACGTTGTCTCTCTTCACAGGGTGCTCTTGACTCGTGAGGCGCCTCAAAAGTACCTTATCATTCTTCAACTTGTGCAAGTTGTGCTTGTGCTCGTGATGCACCACAAAGGTTTTTGAATACGGTGCAGTGCAGTGCTGTGCGCACAAGCACGTCTTGTGCTCGTGATGCACCACAAAGGTAAGTTGTTGCCCTTGCTAGCATGCTTAAGGTGACTATTTTTGGGGCGCCTCACGAGTATGTTCCACTTATTGACCTGCGCAAAGCAGCTGACTACGTTCCCTGTCGCCACTTTCTCCCTCTTGTCCCTATCGATAGCCGTGAATTGGGTGGCTGGGACAGCGATGATTTTCTTGTGTCCTTGCCAATTCTTCAAGGCGTTCGGGAGAATCAGCCAAAAAAACATTTCTCCTGGTGTAATTAATTTATAATTGTATGCATACACTGTGGGCCGTAATCCCGTCAAGTCCATAGAGATTGTCATGTTCTTGAGTCGTCTCGAACTCTCCACCGTGTCTGCACTGCTGCTTTCCCCCCCACCTCCTGCCTCAGCAGTCTTTGTCCCGTCACCTTTCTCCTTCCTCTCCGCCCCGCACTGCCATGTGTCTCGTTGAGACCCCATCAGGGGAGGGGCACGTGCTCCTGTATCCAGGAGGTTTTTACTCGACTCGAAACACAACCCCGCATCTTCCTCCTTTCCCCCGCCACCCCGCACTCCCATGTGCCTCATCTCCCCACCCCGCACTCCCATGTGCCTCATCTCCCCACCCCGCACTCCCATGTGTCTCATCTCCCCACCCCGCACTCCCATGTGCCTCATCTCCCCACCACGCACTCCCATGTGCCTCATCTCCCCACCCCGCACTCCCATGTGCCTCATCTCCCCACCCCGCACTCCCATGTGCCTCATCTCCCCACCACGCACTCTCATGTGCCTCATCTCCCCACCACGCACTCCCATGTGCCTCATCTCCCCACCACGCACTCCCATGTGCCTCATCTCCCCACCACGCACTCCCATGTGCCTCATCTCCCCACCACGCACTCCCATGTGCCTCATCTCCCCACCACGCACTCCCATGTGCCTCATCTCCCCACCACGCACTCCCATGTGCCTCATCTCCCCACCACGCACTCCCATGTGCTGTGCTTCTTTGTGACCCTCACTCACCTGTCAGGGGGGAGGGCCCGCGCTGGTGTTCCCTGGGGGCTCCGAAGAAACATGCTCTCCCCCCTGCACTTCCCCTCTCACATTCTCCTTCCCCTCACCACCCACTCCCATGTGCCCCATTGTGGCCCTGTCAGGGGGGAGGGCCCGCGCTGGTGTTCCCTGGGGGCTCCAAAGAAACGTGCCGCCTCAAGGTGGGGAGGGAAGAAGGGGAGGGGAGGGGAGGTAGATGCGAGATGGGGCGGGCAGAAGAATAGAGGTGGGAAGTTGTGACCCCATCAGGAGGGAGGGCCCGCGCTGGTGTTCCCTGGGGGCTCCAAAGAAACGTGCCGCCTCGAGGTGGGGGAGGGAAGAGGGAAGGGGAAGGGAGGGGGGGGGAGGGGAGAAAAGGTAGAGGAGGAAAGGAAGGGGACAGGAGAAGAGGCGGGGGAGGGAAGGGAGGGGAGGGGAAGGAGGGGAGGGGAGGGAGGGAGGTGAGGGGAGGGGAGAGGGGTAGCAGGATGAGGAGGAGCCTGAAGAGGAGTGGTGGGGAGCTTGTCTCGGTGGCTTCACTGTTGAGGGCCAGGCAAGCCTTTTGAGTCGACTCAAAAGTCAGCTTGTCACGGTGGCTTCACTGTTGAGGGCCAGGCAAGCCTCACCTCCAACGATGCAGCCTCCATGCCAGGCCAGGCCATGCACAAGCATGAAATGGACCTCCCTCTTTTGCATTCGAGGGCTTTTTTTTTTTTTGTAATCTACCTTCTTGCACCCGTTTTCCTGAGCTAATGGCACGAGGGATGGATGACAGAGTAGAAAAAGGAGGGCGTGACGTGAGGGATGAATGACAGAGGCGCATCCAGGCAGCGCCAAGAGGATGGCGCCACAACCCTTTCGGCCATCCTCTTGTGGCGCCGTCACAACCGCCAACACAACACCCTTTCTTCATTCCTCCATCCCCTTTCCTCGTCCCGTGGAGCCAGGGTGAGAAGTATCAGCTGAGGTGGGGCATGGGCGAGGGCAACAGCGGTAGCAGCGGCAGCAGCGGTAGCAGCAGCAGCAGTGGTGACGGTGGCATGGTGCGCATGGCAGCGAAGCTCAATGCCATCATCGTGCCCTTCGCCATGGTCGGCGCTGATGACGCGTGAGTGCCCATGGCATTGATCAGCTGTGCGGCCAACATGTCTTTCTGTCTCCTCCTCCTGCTCTCCTCAACGCCATCATCGTGCCCTTCGCCATGGTCGGCGCTGACGACGCGTGAGTCTCACCCTCCGCCATTGGCATAGCTGTGCTCCCAACACCATCTCCGTTTCTCCTCCTTCTCCCTCTGCCCTCCTCAACACCATCATCGTGCCCTTCGACATGGTCGGCGCTGACGAGTGTCTCGGCACACCCAATCATTTGTGGTCCGCAACACATGCTAGCCTCTCCCCCTTCTCCTCCTTCTGCTCTCCTCAACGCCATCATTGTACCCTTTGCCATGGTCGGCGCAGACGACCTGGAGTTTAGAGAGTCTCGGCACACCCAATCACCTGTGGTCCGCAACACATGCTAGCCTCTCCCCCTTCTCTGCCTGCTCTCCTCAACGCCATCATTGTACCCTTTGCCATGGTCGGCGCAGACGACCTGGAGTTTAGAGAGTCTCGGCACACCCAATCACCTGTGGTCCGCAACACATGCTAGCCTCTCCCCCTTCTCCTCCTTCTGCTCTCCTCAACACCATCATTGTGCCCTTCGCCATGGTCGGTGCAGACGGCGCGTGAGACTTCCGGAGCCTCGGTCTCATGTGTATCTTTTCCGTCTTGTCCCTCCTTCCCCCTTTCTAGCTCCACCATAGTCCTCATTCCACTTCCAATGTCATTGAAATCACTTTTGAGAATTTTCAAAAGTGGTTTCAATATTTCCTTCTTGTCCCTCCTTCCCCCCTTCTTACTCCACATAGTCCTCGTTCCACCTCCATCTTCCTCCCTCCATCCCAAACCTCCCTCCTCCCTCCCCGTGCCCCCATCCACCCGAATCTAACCAGTTTTGACATTGCATTGGACCGAAACCACCTGCTGGCCTCCCCTATTGGAAAGCCCTTCCGCTCCTTGTATGAGTCGCTCTCCCTCGACTTCCTCCATCCCATCCCTTCTGTTCCCCCCTCCCCCAATCCCCGAACCCCATGCACCTCCCCTAGATTTGACATTGCACTGGACCGGAGTGACCTGCTGGCCTCCCCTGTGGGAAAGCCCTTCGCTCCTTGTACAAGTCACTCAGCCTTGACCCTCTCCCTTCCTTCCCTTCCTTCCCTCCTCCCCCAATCCCCTCTCGCTACCAGATTTGACATTGCTCTAGACCGAAACGACCTCCTTGCTTCCCCTCTAGGCAAGCCCTTTCGTTCCCTGTACGAGTCGCTCAGTCTCGACCCGGACACGGACATCAGCCCTGTCACAACCATTCCTGGCACCAGCCTCCCCAGGTGAGATGCGGTGGGGTCTGGTGGGGAGGGCTGCGGTGGTGGGGTGGGTGTCCTCCCCTATTAAAAAGCCCTTCCGCTCCTTGTACGAGTCGCTCAGCCTTGACCCGGACACGGACATCAGCCCTGTCACAACCATTCCCGGCACCAGCCTCCCCAGGTGGGATGCGGTGGGGTCTGGTGGGGAGGGCTGCGGTGGTGGGGTGGGTGTCCTCCCCTATTAAAAAGCCCTTCCGCTCCTTGTACGAGTCGCTCAGCCTTGACCCGGACACGGACATCAGCCCTGTCACAACCATTCCCGGCACCAGCCTTCCCAGGTGGGATGCAGTGGGAAGCGGTGGTGTGTGGTCACGGGCGGTTGGGCTGGGTTGGGATGCTGTGGGGCGGGTGATCTCTCCTCTGTAAGCCCGTCCGCTCCTTATACGTTTCACTCAGCCTTGACCCCGACACTGACATCAGCCCTGTCACAACCATTCCCGGCACCAACTTTCATAGGTGAGTTGCGGTCAGATGGGATGGGATGGGATGGGATGGGATGGGATGGGATGGGATGGGATGGGATGTGATGTGATGACGTGAGACGAGATGAGCTTACTCGCTTGCTCTCTCTCATTTGATTCCTACCCACTTCTCTACCCCCTCACCCCGCCAGCCTGATTCCCCTTCCCAGTCGCCTGGAGAGGGTGTATTTCTACTTCGGCACACCCATTGACTTCAAGAACCTTCCTCCACCTGCAATTAAGGTGTGATCGTCGTGCAACATGCCATCAACATGCCGTCAGTGTGGCATCATACTGTCATCACCGTCATCCCAGCATGCTATCAACATGCCATCAACATGCCATCAACATGCCATCAACATGCCATGCCATCAACATGCCATCGTCATGCCATCTTCATGCCATCTTCATGGCATCAACATGCCATCAACATGCCATCGTCATGCCATCTTCATGCCATCTTCATGCCATCAACATGCCATCCCCATGCCATCGCCATGCCGTCGTCATGCCATCGTCTGCTCCCTTTTTTCCTTCGCCTCCCTTTTCTCCTTGCCTCCATTTTCTATGCCCCTCCTTTTTTCTTCCAATTTCCACTTGATTCATGTGTGTTTTTCTAACAATTCTGCTGTATTGTGTCGTCCCATGGGGAATGCGATACCACCAACCCTCTGCCACCATTCGTCTGCCACCAACTCACTCCCAATGTACTCTCTGCACCGCGTCAACATCAGGACGGTATGCAACTTGTTTCCAGTAGCGTCTTCTTTCATGCGCATCTTGGTTTTATCGTTTCATTAAATCGTCTCTTCTTCCTGTCTGTCTTTTCTTATCCCTGTATTGTGCTCTCTTCCCTGTTCAGCTTAGTTTCAGCTTCTCGCTCAAAGCTTTTCAGCTCATAGTGATTCATGTCTAACTTTTCCTTCAGCGCGGGAATGGCGTGTCGGGCTAGGCAGGGACACACATGGGTCTGCCTTGCTTGTGTGAAATTCTGTGTGCATCCATGCATGCATGTACGCATCAACATTCATGCCTGCATGTGTGTGAATGTGCATGTATATACGCGCATGATTCAGGCATGGTGCGGCATGCAGTGGAGGAGGGTATCGACCACCTTCTGGCATTGAGAGAGACCGATCCGGTGCGTAGATAGAGAGGAAGTGAGTTGGGAAAGACCCATTAAGTTGGGATAACCCCGTCGCAATGGGTTTGCAAAAGGCCACAGCCAGGCATGGTGTAGCATGCAGTGCAGGAGGGTATCAACCATCTGACATTGAGAGAGAGCGACCCAGTGAGCTGAGAGAGGAGCAAGTGTTTTCCCACTCACTCTCTTTGTGCTGCTCCTGTGCCTGGATTGACATCTGTCTGTCGTGGGTCCCTCCCGTACTGCAGGAGAGAGAGCTGCTCGCCCGCTTGACCTCCAAGGTGCAACGGCTATGGCCGGAATTTTCCCGGAATTGACTCCTGCTGTTTTGACATTCGATTCGTTACGCAATCTACTCTGCAAATGCCTATTCTACATTTTTATGCATTGCAGCAGTCTGCACCAATAGATGATAATGCATGATGTGGCTCACATTTCCATGTTGTGGTGGTTGTGCATAAAACTATGCCTAGCTCTCTAGTGTTTCCATATTGTAGTGTACATATTCTAGGTGTACTATCACAAAATCATACAGAAGTGACAATGTGCTGCAAGGGGTATCAAAATTGGTGTGGATCGTCATGTCAGGCACCCTGACAAAGTGGCGCCACCCTGACATTGAAGTTGGTGTCTGCTTGGCGGGAATGACGAGGCACACCGCCAATCAGCAGCCCCCTCCGAAACTTGCTACAAACGAGGATAGCAGTTCAATGGTTGGTTGGGGTGGGGATTGCTTCACAACCAGGAGCCAAAGGAGGGAGTTCGTTCAAGTTCAACAAGCTCGCCGTGGGGCAAATGGTGTTTCCCTTTCACAGTAGAACTGACATGCATGACATTGGTAAAAAGCTCCTTCATGGTCGTCCGCCATTTTATTAAGCAGCAAGTGTTGATATCTTGTTTGTCGGATCAGGATTCTCTTCAAAGGCGACCTTTCGCAGGCTCGTGATCTAATCGGGAATTGCGGAAGCCAGAGCTTTAGCAGGTCAAACTTAGGGCATGATGAGAGATTCCAAAACAATTCATTGCCTTCCTGACCATGTTCTTGTCAGGATCTTCTGGCATTCCGACGTATACCAGCCGACCTCGTCATTGTCTCTGTCAGATTACGCTAGTAGGGAGGAAAACGAAGATTCAGAGCCTGACCCGCATTTTTCGACGCCTCCTGCATCTGCCGATGTCGCTAACGTTCTCCTCATTGCCTCCGTATGTCGTCGCTGGCGGGAGCTCTCTCACGAATCCGTCACAACGCTTCTCGTTTCACGGAATCGTCTGGTGTCTCGCGAGTACCTCAAACGCGTTATGGTGTCCTTCCCGAACCTCACTCGCCTACACTTGAGCAACGGAAGCATGGAAACGATCGACGACGAGTTTCTGGCATTTCTCAGCTTGTCGTCACCAAAGCTAACCGCTCTTCATGTCGGCACAGGCATTGCTCCATACGACGACCTTGACCGTGACGAGGAGGAGGACATGGACTACTACGACGAATCAGATCACCCTATCACGGAAGCTGGGCTGGACATTCTCTTCAGCCATTGTAGCCGCTTGGAAAACCTGTCACTCCAGTGCCTCCATTGGACCACGAAGCTTCCGTCTTCGTTATTCTTGTTGACGCGCCTACACACGCTGTCACTGGGAGAGGTTTCGCCTTTGGTGGATCCCAACTTCGCGAATCTGTCTTCTCTCACGAAGCTGTCTATTCAAAAGATGGATATGCGGTTACATCAAATGTCGCCACTAACTCGCCTTCCGAATCTGACCAGCCTGTTTTTTCCAGGAGCGACATTCTTCCACAGTTTCGAGGGGGATTTCTCATTTGGTCAACTGACAAATCTTCGTTCGCTGGGATTCGTGCGGGGGTATACTGACTACCCTTCAATGTTTCCGCCAGAATCACCGTGTTTCCGTCTTCAACGTCTGCTGCTAAGCAGTATTCCGAGCATCCCGCCTGAGAAGCTTGGAGAGCGGTTCCCGGTACTTCGCGAACTCTGCCTTTCCGGTAGCCGTTTATTTACTGAGATAATGGTACCATATTCCTTCACAAGCCTCAGCACCTTGGAAGTTCTAACCATTTTCAACTGCAGTATATCCAGCCTGCCCGAGAATTTTGGAGATTTTCCAGGGCTGAAGTCCTTAGCGTTGAAAAGCTGGTCGCTGAAGAGACTCCCCGATTCTATTGGGTTACTCACAGGGCTTCAGAAGTTATCCTTAGACCATGTGGACATAGACACCCTCCCCACAACGATTTCCTGCTTGGCTGCTCTTGAATCCTTGAGCATCACGGGATCAAGGCTGACGGCACTTCCGGAGGAGATAGGCGAGCTGACGAATCTCCGCGATTTGGTGCTGTGCTGGTGTGCAGAACTGCAGCAGCTGCCGGTGTGACTCAGTCGACTCTCTTCTCTAACACGGCTCGATATCAGCAAATGTCCCATAGTTAACCTTCCAGAGGGTACAGGCCATCTTGGTGACCTGCGGGAGTTGACCTTGAGCTGCTGCAATGAGCTGGCAGCTCTGCCAGCGTCCATCAATCAACTGTGCCGCCTCAAGAACCTAAAAGCCCGCTTTTGTATCAAGCTTGCGTCTGCACCTCGAGCCTTGCAAAACCTTTCATGCTTGCAGGAGCTGGATCTGACGGGTTGTGTACTTTTGCAGGAGACCTTAGAATCATTGCCGCGGTCTTTGGAAACATTGAGCTTGGGAAACGACACCAGCAGCATCATTCTTCCCGATTTGTCAGCGACTCCAAATCTCAAGAAGCTGAGTTTGATTCAGGTCACTACTGTGAACGCACCAACGACCAGCCATTGCCTCTCTCAGATAGAGCACCTGGAGTTGCGCCTGGGCGCTGAACAAACAGAATCTCCACTCCTGCTCGGGTTCCTTTCATGCCTCCGTGATCTACGCATCTCGAATGCCAAGGCATTGCATCACCTGCCCCATGACATCGGCTCTGCTCTGCCTCAGCTGCGACAGCTGCACGTGGAAGGAGCAAAATCTCTGACAGAGATTCCAAAAAGTGTAACACGGCTGGTGCAACTCAGATCTCTTCATATTGAAGCTCCAAGACTGACCCATCTTCCTGACACCATCTCTTCCTTATCAAGATTGGGCGACCTTAGCCTGCGTAATTGCTCCTCCCTGACAAGCCTGCCCGGTTCTTTCACCAACCTCACTTACCTGCACAAATTGGATGTCAGCAAGACGGCACTTCACTTCCTTCCTCCCAACTTCCACCATTTGGCACGACTCAGAGAGCTGGACCTGAGTGACTGTGAGCAGCTTCAGTCCCTGCCGCAACACCTGTCTAGTTTGATGCTGCTGCGAGTGCTGAATCTCAAGGGCTGCAAGATGCTTGGCCGAGAGCCAATGCCTTTCGATCTTTACGCAAGGGTTGGACTCAAGTCGTACCAAGACTAACCATAGGTCGATCCAGCAGCTAGGATGTTACTACGTGTAATATGCTCCTTGATGCTGTTTGGGTTTGCATATTTGTGTACAACTGCTACATTCGTTCAAACATAAGCACAGCACGTTCCATACCACAGTTTTGCAAGAGTGCAGGATGTGCATGGGCATGTCCAGGACTGGGGGAAAAAAAAAAAATCAGGAATCGTTTTCAAATCTGTGACTGAAAGGTACTGAAACTTTAGAAATGCTGTGATTGAAAGGTTTTGTGACTGAAAATTATAGTGACCCATTTTACTGCTCCGTGCTTGGCCTGCAGTGCAAGCAGGGTGGAAATTAGGTACCTTCCCAACCTTCAACCATGATTCTAGAAATGGTGTTGTGCAACTGTGGGAAAGACAAGCCAGGGTAAATCCAGTCTTAATCACAGAAAAGCATTAGAAACATGCCCAGCCCTGTCAGGTGCTTGGGGCTGCCTCTGATACCTTGTACCAATAGCTCTCTGGTGCCTCGTTATAAGGTATCTCAAATCACTACGGTAGTAGCCCTCGACCTCACTGGAAGCTCTTCGCCCCGTTATAAGGTTCCTCAAAACATTTGTAGCTCTCTTCTGTCTCAATGTCTGGCCGCGAGAGAATGTAGTTGAGGGCGTTGAGTGTGTGTGTATGCTGGGAGGGGTAGGGAGAGGAGTCGGGGAGAGGATATAACAGAAAAAAAGGTAACGAGAGCAACGAAATGATTAAATGGGATCTGGGAAGCATGGTACAGGGACCATGCATGCATGCACGCATCCATGCACAGACACAGACAAGTGGCATGCACAGACAAGTGGCATGCCCCCCTCACCACGACCCCCTTCAGCTCAGGACAGGACCCAAACCAAATTGTCTAACTCAGCAACACACAAACATCAGTGTTGGTCAGCTGCCAGCCATTTGCCAGCATAAATGTCCACGCATGAGAGCGAGTGTGCGCGCATGAGAGCGAGTGTGCGCGCATGACATTGAGTGTGCGCGCATGAGAGTGAGTGTGCGCGCATGACAGTGAGTGTGCACGCATGACAGTGAGTGTGCGCGCATGAGAGTGAGTGTGCGCTCATGAGAGCGATTGTGCGCACATGAGAGTGAGTGTGCGCGCATGAGAGTGAGTGTGCATGCATGAGAGTGAGTGTGCACGCATGAGAGTGAGTGTGCGCGCATGAGAGTGAGTGTGCATGCATGAGAGTAAGTGTGCGCGCATGAGAGCGAGTGTGCACGCATGAGAGTGAGTGTGCACGCATGAGAGGGAGTGTGCATGCATGAGAGAGTGTGCACGCATGAGAGAGAGTGTGCACGCATGAGAGTGAGTGTGCATGCAAGAGAGTGAGAGTGCACACATGAGAGCGAGTGTGCACGCATGAGAGTGAGTGTGCGTGAATGAGAGTGAGTGTGCAAGCATGAGAGTGAGTGTGCACGCATGAGAGTGAGTGTGTACGCATGAGAGCGAGTGTGCGCGCATGAGAGTGAGTGTGCGCGCATGACAGTGAGTGTGCACGCATGACAGTGAGTGTGCGCGCATGAGAGTGAGTGTGCGCTCATGAGAGCGAGTGTGCGCACATGAGAGTGAGTGTGCGCGCATGAGAGTGAGTGTGCATGCATGAGAGTGAGTGTGCACGCATGAGAGTGAGTGTGCGCGCATGAGAGTGAGTGTGCATGCATGAGAGTGAGTGTGCGCGCATGAGAGCGAGTGTGCACGCATGAGAGTGAGTGTGCACGCATGAGAGGGAGTGTGCATGCATGAGAGAGTGTGCACGCATGAGAGAGAGTGTGCACGCATGAGAGTGAGTGTGCATGCAAGAGAATGAGAGTGCACACATGAGAGCGAGTGTGCACGCATGAGAGTGAGTGTGCGTGAATGAGAGTGAGTGTGCAAGCATGAGAGTGAGTATGCACGCATGAGAGTGAGTGTGTACGCATGAGAGCGAGTGTGCGCGCATGAGAGCGAGTGTGCGCGCATGAGAGCGAGTGTGCGCGCATGAGAGTGAGTGTGCACGCATAAATCTCCGCGCATGAGAGCGAGTGTGCGCGCATGAGAGCGAGTGTGCACGCATGTGAGTGAGTGTCCACGCATGAGAGTGAGTGTGTGCGCATGAGAGTGAGTATGCATGCATGAGAGTGAGTGTGCGCGCATGAGAGTGAGTGTGCAAGCATGAGAGTGAGTGTGCACAAATGAGAGTGAGTGTGCGCGCATGAGAGCGAGTGTGCACGCATGAGAGTGAGTGTGCGCGCATGAGAGGGAGTGTCCATGCATGAGAGTGAGTGTGCGCGCATGAGAGCGAGGGTGCGCACATGAGAGTGAGTGTGCGCGTATGAGAGTGAGTGTGCATGCATGTGTGTGAGTGACAATCAAATTCACTCGCGGACCAAGTCCATGAGCTGTGTGTGTTAGAATATCTCCTCTCTTGTAACCTGCATATATGCTATAGGATAGGCTAGAGATAAGCACCCAAACTTAGTTTGGGTGTACAAGCAGGGGTTACCCAATTTGTAGGTTGGAAACCCAACCTTGGTCCAATTATTGGACCCCAAGGGTTGGGATGGGTAGAATTATTGGTCCCCTCCAATAATGTTGGCCCAACTCCAACTTGGCCAACATTATTGGACCCCACCAATAATCTCCCAACCCAACTCCTTGGTTGGGGTCCAATAATGTTCACCTAGGCTAGTTTCCAACCCATCTCCTATGTAAACCCCCCATCCTTTTCAATCAATCCATCAACTTCTCTTCTAACTTTTCTTCTCACATGGTATAGAGCTCTTAAAAATCCTAGGCCTACGCTCCTAGTTTTTTTTCAAAGGCCGCCGCAACCCCCGGCCTCCTTTCTCATTTTTCCGCGGCTATCTCGCCACCCTCCCCCTCTCCTCAAGCACTCCCTTCCTCGCAGCCCCACGGCCTCCCACGCCGTCAGGGCTCGCGGCCCCACCGCCGCTTCCGCGCTCGCCTTGTCGCGGTCCCGCCGACCGCCACCGCCCGCCCCATTCCGCGGCCTCGACGCCGCCTCCGCGCCAACGCCACTGCGGCTCCACCAGCCGCCGTCGCCGCCGCCGCTCCCTTCCGCGGCCTCGTCGCCGCCTCCGCGCCTGCACTGCCGCGGCTTCGCCAGCCGCCGCCGCTCGCGCCGCTCCCTCCCGCGACCCCGTCGCCGCTTCCGCGCCTGCACTGCCGCGGCCTCGCCAGCCGCCGCCGTCCGCGCCGCTCCCTCCCGCGGCCTCGTTGCCGCCCCCGCGCCTACGCTGCCGCGGCCTCGCCAGCGCCGCAGTTCGCGCCACTCCCTCTCGCGGCCTCGTCGCCGCCTCCGCGCCTGCACTGCCGCGGCTTCGCCAGCCGCCGCCGCTCGCGCCGCTCCCTCCCGCGACCCCGTCGCCGCTTTCGCGCCGGCACTGCCGCGGCTTCGCCAGCCGCCGCCGCTCGCGCCGCTCCCTCCCGCGGCCTTGTCGCCGCTTCCGCGCCTGCACTGCCGCGGCCTCGCCAGCGCCGCAGTTCGCGCCGCTCCCTCTCGCGGCCTCGTCGCCGCCTCCGCGCCTGCACTGCCGCGGCTTCGCCAGCCGCCGCCGCTCGCGCCGCTCCCTCCCGCGACCCCGTCGCCGCTTCCGCGCCGGCACTGCCGCGGCTTCGCCAGCCGCCGCCGCTCGCGCCGCTCCCTCCCGCGGCCTTGTCGCCGCTTCCGCGCCTGTACTGCCGCGGCTTCGCCAGCCGCCGCCGCTCGCGCCGCTCCCTCCCGCGGCCTTGTCGCCGCCTCCGCGCTTGTACCGCCGCGACTGCGCCAGCTGCCGCCGCCGCCTGCGCCTCTCCGCGGCCCCATCGCCGCCTCCACGCTAGCGCCGCCGCGGCCTCGTCAGCCGCCGCCGCCAGCACCGCTCCTCTCACGGCCTCGTCGCCGCCTTCGCGCCAACGCCACCGCGGCCCCACTAGCCGCCGCCGTCCGCGCCGCTCCCCTCTGCGGCCTCGTCGCCGCCTCACCTCCCTCCCCTCCGTGACCACTGCGGGTCCCCCCGCGGCCGTCCTTCATGGCTACCGCCGCACCTTCCCCCGCCCCCCTCCCTCCTCCTATTGATACGTCCTCCATTGATAAGCTCCAGCTCGCCGCGGACAAGTCCGCAGTCAACTGGCACTCCTTCGTCGGCAGCATCCGACGCGTTCTCTCCGACGCATGGGTTCCCCCCTACCGTGTCCTTGACGTCATCCTCCGCCGCCCCCATGCCCTCCCCCCCACCGAACCTCCCCACCCCGGCGAGACTCCTCCTCTTCCTCCTACTCCTGGCGACCCTCCTCGTGAACCCGATCTTCAGATCACCCCCGACCAAGCCACTGCGGATGCTGATTTTATCCTACGCCGCCGTGAATACCTCATCCGCAAAGCCGAGTACGATGCTGCAGTTGAGGCCTATGATCAGGCGGTTGCTGGTCGCGACGCTCACCTCGAGGTCGTCGCCAAATACAAGGTCGACATGGCTGACTTCACCCCCAGACTCATCGCCTGGACAGCTGCTGACACCCGTGCCTGCACCGTTCTCCTTGGAGCTCTCCCTGACTCCCTCATGCGTCGCTTCCAGGCTCGGGAACTCCGTGCCTCGGTCATCTGGGCAGAACTCCATGCCATGTTTGAGCGCCGCGACATCAGCTCCGTCGGCATCCTCTTCCAAGAGTATTTTTCCATCACCCTCGCCACCTGTGACGGAGCAGTCGACTACGTCGGACGCATGCGCGAGGTAGCTGATCGCCTCGAAGCCCGCCAGGCCGGCCTCTCCGAACCTCTTCAAATCCACCGCCTCCTCTTTAACCTCACCCCAGACTACGAATCCCGCCTCCACGCCTTTACCGAAGCCAATCCCATGGCCGGTCTCGCCTCCGTTGAACAGTGGATCATAGACACCGAAGTTAAACTCCGTACACCCATCGTCAACCTCGCCTCCTCCCAACCCACCTCCTCCTCCCTCAACGCTACCCAGCCTCGCAAGCAGGGAAAGAACAACGGCAAAGGAGGAGGTGGGGGCAAGGGAGGTGGTGGTTCGGGAAGCAGCAACAACCGTGGTGGCACCACTGGGGATGAGCACGGCACCACCACTTCGGGTGGACCCACTGCAAGTCGCGGGAGTCGCCCTGGCACGCTTCCTCCCTGCACCTATGTCCGCCGCTATGGTCCTCGGGCTGGAACTCCCTGCGGACAGACCAACCATCCCCCTGGCACGTGCTTCAAGGCTCTCGACGATGCCTGGTACGCGCGGGGTAACGTTGGCACTCCTCCAAAGTGGGGCAACATCTCCCCACGCCCCTCCCCCACCGATATCCAAACCAATCCAGCCTACCTCCCAGCCCACCTCCGCCTCCTTGCTCCCCCCACACCCTTCCTCAACCTCCAGCAGCAGCACCTCCAGCAGCAGCAGCAGCAGCAGCAGCAGCAGCAGCAGCAGCAGCAGCAGCAGCAGCAGCAGTTACAGCAGCTGTTTCAGCCTCAGCCGCAGCACCCATGGGGGTCAGGACCCCAGCCACAGTGGGGACCCAGCCCTCCTCCCTGGCCGCAGCAGCAGTTGAACTTTGGCACAGCAGCCATGGCCGCTCAAGCCTCACCTGCCCCCCTTTGGGGTGCCCCACCCCCCCCCAGTAGCACTGCCACCCCTCTCACTCACGAGAGCTTCCTTGGCAACATAGCTATTTCGCCCTCTCTTCCTTCCATGTACCCATCCAACATTAATGAAACCACTTTCCAGTACTCAGTGTCTTCCTCCTCCTCCTCACCCACTCTGGACTTTGTCCTTGACAGTGGGGCCACTGAGACCGCCCTCAAAGACGCTGGTACACTCACACCCCTCTCCCCTCCCACTCAAGTTCACGGTGCTGACAGCAGCTTCACCATCCCATGCACACACCTCTCCACTCTCCCCTGTTCACTCTTCCCCTCTGGCAAGGTAACTGGTCTCCACATCCCCACTCTCCGAAACAACCTCCTCTCCCACCGTGAAATCCAAGGTGCAGGTATCACTGCCGTCTATCCTGGTAATGCCACCTACTGTGACCTTTACCACACTGCCTCCGGCCGCTTCCTCCTCCGCATACCCCTCTGCCCTCGCACTCGCCTCTACACTCTCCGCACTCCGTGGCCATCCTCCTGCCATGTTACCACTCGTGCGGGTACCTCCACCAGCCCTCCCCATCTCCCTCCCTCTCCTCCCACTCCGTCTCCTCCCCACTTCTCCATCCCTTCCTCACTCATTCCAATCCCCTCCACCTCCGACCATCTCTCCCACCCCGCTGTTCTCCTACATCACCGACTCGGCCATCCGAATTTTGCCGCTCTCCGCACTGCCGTCACCTCACGACTTCTTCACAGCCTCCCTCCAACTCTTCCTCCCCTTCCCTCCTCCCCAGCCCCCCCATGCCCCTCCTGCATCCACGGCAAACTCAAACAATCTCCTCACCACAGCCACCCATCCTTTGCTCCTGCACCCATTGACCTTGTCCATATGGACCTCTGGGGGCCCTCTCCCACCCGCTCACGCCAAGGCCATCGCTACATGTTGGTTCTTGTTGACGATCACAGCCGCTACTCCTCCATTTTCCTCCTCCACACCAAAGACCAGGCGCCGACCATTATCATTAACTGGGCAGAGCAATGCCGCACCCACTTCAAACGTCCCATCGGCCGCCTCCACTCTGATGGGGGAGGCGAATTCCTCAACCGCACTCTCTCTCACTACTGCACCACCCATGGCATCCAACAGACCCACACTCTTCCCCACTCCCCACAGCAGAACGGCGTTGCAGAAAGCCGCATTCGCGAAATCACTAAGATCGCCCGCTGTCTCCTTGCTCACGCCTCCACCCCTCCCTCTCTCTGGGGCTATGCCCTCCTCCATGCTGCCCTCCTCCTCAACCTTCACTCCCATCCCCAACACACTGCCGCTACCCCCACGGAGCTCTGGTCAGGAACCAAACCTGACGCTGCCGGTCTCCGTGTCTGGGGTTGCAAGGCATATGTGCTTATTCCTCCACCCGACCGCACCCAAGGCAAGCTCGCTCCTCGCGCCCTCGAGTGTGTCTACCTCGGACACAACCGCGACTCGCCTGGTTACCTCTTCCTTCACCCTCCCTCTGGTCGCCTCATCCGCAGCATTGACGTTGTGTTCGATGAGACCACCCCGTACTACTCCTCTCCACCACCGGACCCCCTCCCTCCTCCCACACGTCCTCTCGCTTGGGCCGACACCGTCCTCCCTCCCCTCCTCCTTCCAGCACCCCTTCTCCCACCCCTCCCCACCCCGCTTCCGCCACCTTCATCCGCCGACGTCTACGATCCCACTGCTCCTGCCTCCCCCGCACACTCCACGGCTCCCCCTCCCTCCTCCCCTTCCCACTCCCCTCCTCATCCATCACAGCAGCAGCAGCAGCAGCAGCAGCAGCAGCAGCAGCAGCAGCAGCAGCAGCAGCAGCAGCAGCAGCAGCAGCAGCAGCAGCAGCAGCAGCAGCAGCAGCAGCAGCAGCAGCAGCAGCAGCAGCAGCAGCAGCAGCAGCAGCAACAACAACAACAGCAGCAGCAGCAGCGGCAGCAGCAGCAGCTGCAGCAGCAGCAGCAACAGCAGCAACAGCAGCAGCAGCAGCAGCAGCAGCTGCAGCAGCCGCAGCAGCAGCAAGGGCAGCACCAGCAGCGGCAGCAGCAGCAGCCGCAGCAGCCACAACAGCAACAGCAGCCGCAGCAGCAGCAGCAGGGGCAGCAGCCGCAGCAGCAGCAGGGGTTCCAGCAGCACCAGCAGCAGCAGCTGCACAGGGCAATTGCCCGCTCCTCACCCTTCCTCCTCCCTCGCATGCACACCCGCTCCCTTGACCCCATCCTTGGTGCACCGTCTCCTCCCTCCCTCAACCAACTGGAGGACTCCCATGAGGAGTTCACCATGGTCCGGCGCCACACTCCCTCTCTCACAGTACTTTCCCCTGACCTCCTCGGCGCCCTACTCCTTAGCGCGATCTCCGCTCCCACCATCTTCGTCCCCTCCACCTTCCAAGAGGCTATCACCTGCCCTGACGCCGATAAGTGGATAGCCGCCATCTTCCAGGAATGTGAAGCATTCATCCACAATAACTCCTTCATTGACGTTCCCCTCCCTCCTGACGCCAACCTGGTTGAGGGCAAGTGGATCTTTCGAGTCAAGCAGCTGCCGGGAGAAGAACCAGTCTACAAAGCCCGCTACGTTGCCAAGGGGTTCACCCAGACCTGGGCTGAGGACTACTGGTTCACGTTCGCCCCCACCGTCAAGCAGGCCACCCTACGCACCCTTCTTGACATCGGTGCAAGAGACGACATGGAGATTGACTCCATGGACGTCTCCAACGCTTTCCTGCAAGGTGAACTGCACGAACGCATCTTTCTCCGCCGACCTCCCGGGTTCCATGCTACGTTCCCCGACAACACCGTCTGGCAGCTGAAGCGACCGGTCTACGGCCTGAAGCAGGCACCACGAGAATGGCATGCGAAGCTGTCTGCTACTCTCCAGTCCCTTGGCTTCTCCCCCTCCCACTCCGACGCCAGCCTCTTCATCCGCTCTTCCCCCAGTCGCTTTTTCATCTCGGTCTACGTTGACGACATGATCCTGCTGGCGGACTCCAGGGCCGACATGGACCAGATGAAGCGGTCACTTCAGGAACGACTCAAGTGCAAGGACCTTGGTCCCCTCCAGAACTACCTCGGCATGGCTATCACCCGTGATCGATCCGCCCGCACCATCACTCTCTCCCAGTCCCACTACATCGGCCAGGTCCTGGAGAAGTTTGAGATGGCGCAGGCCAAACCAGTCTCCACCCCCCTCCCCTTCGGTCACCAACTTGCGCCACCCACCTCCCCCTCCTCCTCCTCCCGGCCCTACGCCGAGCTCGTTGGGTCGCTGATGTACGCGATGATGTGCACCCGCCCCGACCTCGCCTACCCCGTCAGCGTCCTTGCTCGGTTCGTCGGCTCTGGCCGTCACACTGAGGAACACTGGGCTGCCGCCAAGCGGGTCCTCCGCTATCTCTGCGGCACCAAGGATCACGCTCTCACACTGGGTGGATCCTCCCCTCCCCTTCTCTCGGGCTTCAGTGACTCCTCCTGGGCAGACAATCAGCCAGACCGCCGCTCCTCCCAAGGCTATGGCTTTACCCTCGGCAGCGGACTTATCAGCTGGCGTTCCACCCGCTCCTCAGCCATCGCTCTCTCTTCCTGCGAAGCTGAGCTCTATGCGGGCACCATGGCCGCTCAAGAGTCCCGCTGGCTCTGCTTTCTTCTGGCAGAGCTTGGTGCCCCCCAGCGCTGTCCCACGCTCTGGTGTGACAACGCCAGCACCATCCATCTCACCCAGGATCCAGTCTTTCATGGTCGCTCCAAGCACATCGAGCTCCGTTATTTCTTCATCCGCGAACTCGTCCGACAGAATCTTATCGCCGTCCGCAAGATCGCCACTGAAGCCAATTTGGCGGATATCTTCACCAAAGCACTTCTTCGCCCCGCGCACTCTGCTCTCCTCCGCCTCATTGGCCTCGCTCCCCCAGGCGCGCCTTGATTCAGGGGTTGCTTCTCTCAAGCCTTTCCGCATCTCTGCAGGTTAAGGGGTTGTGTTAGAATATCTCCTCTCTTGTAACCTGCATATATGCTATAGGATAGGCTAGAGATAAGCACCCAAACTTAGTTTGGGTGTATTAGCAGGGGTTACCCAATTTGTAGGTTGGAAACCCAACCTTGGTCCAATTATTGGACCCCAAGGGTTGGGATGGGTAGAATTATTGGTCCCCTCCAATAATGTTGGCCCAACTCCAACTTGGCCAACATTATTGGACCCCACCAATAATCTCCCAACCCAACTCCTTGGTTGGGGTCCAATAATGTTCACCTAGGCTAGTTTCCAACCCATCTCCTATGTAAACCCCCCATCCTTTTCAATCAATCCATCAACTTCTCTTCTAACTTTTCTTCTCACAGTGTGCACATGACTGTACCTCAAGGGGGGGTGGGCACCTATGTGACGGAAGACGCGTCTAGCGTCTTAGACGGTTGCGTCTAGACGCAGCGTCTAAGACGCTAGACGCATTTTCGCCTAGGTTAGACGCAGATTAGACGGAAACCCGGGCAGGCCCTAAAAAAAAGTTCGGGCAGCCTAAAAAAACTTCTCAGGACCATGGGGAGGGTGGGGTACATGCATATATAGCACATTTGGGTCAAATTTCCGCCATACCAAAACTTTTTCCCCTTAACTTGCCTTCCCCACGGCATCGTCATGCGAGGAGGAGGCGGAACTACCAGAACTAGGAGAAGACATGGCTTCAAGAGGTAAGTAGCTCTAAACCCTAGAGGGTTTTTGAAAGAGAATTGGCTAGAAATGAAAGATGGGAAGCACAAATGGGGGATTTGTGCTTCCCAAGCCCTTGCTGGTTTGCCATTAAGGGTTGGGTTTACTAGATGCTTTGCGGTTGAGAGGGGTTTGTGTTTTCAATTTTGGTTGAGGAAATTTCAATTTTGCTTGGGGGGCTTGAATCTAAGGTCGAAATGGGTGGGTGGGGGGTGCAAATGACGCGAAATTGAATTTCGCATCAAAATCGCGAAATTCAATTTCGCCCGCGGAAACTTTTTTTCGGGCTGCCCGAAAATTTTCCCCCAAGCGTCTAGCGTCTAAACGCGCGTCTTGCGTCTTCCGTCACATAGGTGGGCACGGCAGTGGATGCACCAACTAACAGTTTGATCGCTTGCAGTTGATGGATGCGAGTGAGTGGTGGGGCGCCTCAACTTGTGAGGTGACTTTAAGACGACCTTTGAGACGACTTTTAAGGTGCCTCAAAAGGGTGTGGGCACGCCAGTGGATGCACCAACAAACGGTTCGATCGCTTGCAGTTGATGCTTGCAGGAGAGTGGGTCGCTTGGCAGTTGATAGTTCGGAGCAGGCTGCTACACTGATGGCACCAGGAAGCTGCCAGCCACTTGCACAAGGCAACATGGCCAGAGGAGGTGGAAGGTAAGGTGTTGGAAGGGGTGAGAGCAGGTGGCGATGGGTGATGTGGGGTGAGCTGTACCCTTGAGTGATAGCCTAGCTCACAGCCACTGCATGGCCAGCAGCTGCAGCAGTAGCAGCATTCCATGTCCAGACTCTCTTCACCTCATGATTCTCCATAACGCAAGCGAACAGACCAGCATTGCACAATCGCGATCGACATCATTTGTGAAGCACCTCCAAAATTGCCTCAATAATTGCATTATCTAGTACCTGAGTCGGGCGAAAACAAGCCACATACCTGACTAGTGACAGCCTTGCTGCAGTCAGGCGAACCATGCCAGCAGCGTGGAGTGGATACGGTCACAGCAGGGCTTGCTGCAGTCTCAGGGGCATCAGCGCGGATACTGCCCCTGAGGCAAGGTTCGCCTGTGCTGTCACAGCAGGGAGATTGATGATTACTGCCAGTAGGCCTGCCAGTAGCCCTGCCCCCGCCACAGCCGCACCGTGATCAACAAGGAAGAATACGTAAATATAATCACCCATGAAGCATGGAGCCTGGTTTTTAGGCGACTTTTGGGGCGCCTCAAGAATACATAGGAATAACCACCCAGGAAGCACGGAGTTTGGCGCGGCAGCAGGTGGTGGGAGAGGAGGAGGTGGAGGCGGAGAGTGGATGAACCGGGCAGGGGAATGAGTTCTGAAGGAATGGCCAGGCGAGTGAGAAGGGGATAAGTGCGCACGTGAGTACGGACGTGAGATGATGATGAAGGAATGTCGCAGAAAGACGGGTCTGCAGAAGTACCAAAGGGAAGTGGAAGGGGAAAGACGTTACATAGGGATTGGATTCTCCTGGCGTATGGCGTAGCTGGGAGCCTGAGCGCAGGGGTGCTGCGACTTGGTGATTAGGGCAGGGCAGGTCACGGCAGGGCAGGGTGGCGCAGGGGGGGGCTGGGCGTGGGGGCCTGGGGCAGAGAATATGCTGCGACATGCTGATTAGGGCAGGGCGAGTAAGGGCAGGGCAGAGGGACGCAGGGGGAAGGTGGGTGATTAACCTGCGAGCAGGGGATATGGTAGCCATCCCGGGTACCAGGTGACAGCAAGCTGACAAGCTCGCGTGGCGGAGCGCGGGTCTCGCTGTTGTCCAATTGCCGCCATCGCCTAGGTCAGAAACACAACATGCAATGCGAGTCTCATGTTTGCGAATTCCAGCAAGAAGCGAGTCAGCGGCACGAAAGGTGTGTGCTTCGATGCGAAGAGAGAGACATTGGATACCTAGGCTTGCTGCGCACCTAGAAGCGCTGCGGCCAGAAGTCTTGGCGAAAGAGCGATCGACGAGGTGGACGGCTGTGGACGGCTGTGGACGGCTGTGGATCGGCTGTGGAACGGCTGTGGACGGCTACGATTGATGAGAGACATTGGAAATCTGCTGAGGCTTACTGCGCGTGCGCTCTAAACCATCATCCCCCCCCACATTCCTCTCCCTTCTCCGCTCGTTGAAGCATGACGCGCGGGGCACGCGGCGGCGGAGTCGCTGCGCGACATCGAAATGGAATCGCTCTGCGTTGTTTCGGAGTTCCCCCTGCCCTGCCGCCGAGAGACTTACCGCATTTTGCCACGTCAGCTTGGTAGAGCAAGTCGCGGATCGCGGCATCTAACGAAGCGCCCTTGGGGTGAGGTCAGCAAATTATTAGTCGCTGTGGGACATCGCTTGCTGGTCGTAGTTCCGCGATTGTGGAATGAAATGAATTGCTCAAATAAGGGAAACACGCGGTAAGGTACAGATAAACCAGATTCTGAAATTTATGTTTGTGCTACTCACAACGGCGACCTCTCGTCGTATCGGATCAGACTCAAAACGGGTTTCGAGTTTCTTTAACGACGTGTTGCGACCCACCCTGGGTTGGTTCGGGTCGGCCCGACCTGGTCGACCCGGTTCGGGCCGAACCGACCCGACCCGACCAAACCCCAACGCGACTCGGGAAACCAAAGAATTTCCCATCGCCTTCCACCCAAATTCGACGTCTTGGGGGCGCAACTGCCGTGCGGGTGTATGGCGGGCCGGGCAATGTTTGACGACGCAGGGGGAAACACACAAGGTCGCAACCCTAGATGTGCGCGACATTACCGGGTATCAAATTGTTGGACGAGATACAGACGACATCCACGCGAGAGCCACAGTATTCGCGGGCTCTGGTAACCTGCTCCAGCTCGGTTGGTTTGGGCTTGGTCGGCCTGGTCGCCCCGACCTGGTCGACCCTTGTCGAGCCGACCCAACCCAACCCGGGTTGGGTTGGGTCGGGTCGAGCTGGTCGGGTAGGTCGGCACTGCGGGCTTCCTAGAAATTCGGGATCGGGGGGTAGTCGACCCGACCCGGGTGGGTCGCAACACGTCGTATATTTTTTTTTCAAAACGGGGGATGGAAAAAGTCTACTGGTCAACATTTTTTGCAAGTGGTTGACTGGAATTTCAAGTGTTTAACTCGCTCACGGCTTCTGTTTGCTCATTGGTCCAGTTCTTAGAGTTTGAGTCCTCGCGCCGCGCAGAAAAATTGCCCAGCTTTGGCGACGCGATGAGGGTACAAAAATGCATGCGGCATTCCGAAACTCATTCATTCAGTTCTTCACTTCGATTCAAGAAAGGACCTTACTAATTCTGAAGCTGCTTGTGCTCACTTCCAAGCTCCTGGGCAGCAAAATAGCTCCTGAACAGCTAAATTTCTTTCAACATGGGAATATTGGCTGCATCCTACGCAGTACACAAGCACAATGGCGCAGAGAGTCTCATTTTCGTCGAGCCAGCATCGTCGCCGTGACCTCAGCACGGCCCTTCCCCTCCTCTCGCTCGTCCTGCTCTCGTCTCTCCACGCAGCGATGGCCTTCCGCTTCTCCGCGGGGCTCCGCGCGGACAAGCTGCGCGGGATGATGCGCGGATGGGCTCAAGGCGGACGCTCGACCGGCCAGCAGCAACAACAGGGCGGCGGAACTAACGGAGGCGGGATCGGCGGCGGCGGAATGGGCGGCGGCGGAATGGGCGGCGGCATAATGGGCGGCGGTGGAATGGATGGCGGCGGAATTGACGGCGGAGGAATGGGTGGCGGCGGAATGGGCGGAGGAGGGATGGGCGGCGGCGGAATGGGCGGCGGCAGCACGGGAGGCGGCGGAATGGCCGGAGGCGGCATGGGTGGCGGCGGAATGGGCGGCGGAAGCATGGGAGGCGGCAGAATGGGCGGCGGTGGAATGGGCGGCGGTGGAATGGGCGGTGGTGGAGCGGGAGGGGGTATGGGCGGACTTGGGTCCTCTGCCCCCGGATCACAAGCAGCCATGGGTCTTGGGGGGAACATTGGTGGCGGCGGGATGGGCGGCGGAGGAATGGGAGGCATGGGCGGACCTGGGTCCTCTGCTCCCGGATCGCAGCCAGCCATGGGCCCTGGGGGGAACATGGGCGGAGGCATGGGCCGCGGCGGAGGAATGGGCGGCGGAGGAATGGGCGGCGGCGGAGTGGGCGACGGAGGCATGGGCGGCGGAGGCATGGGCGGCGGAGGCATGGGCGGCGGAGGCATGGGCGGCGGAGGCATGGGCGGCGGAGGCATGGGCAGGTCAGGGTGGGTTGCTCCAGGGTCGCAGGCAGCACCTGGGCAGGGTGGACCTGGGATGGGCGGAGGGATGGGCGGAGGGATGGGCGGAGGGATGGGTGGAGGGATGGGCGGAGGGATGGGCGGAGGGATGGGCGGAGGGATGGGCGGAGGGATGGGGGGAGGGATGGGCGAAGGGATGGGCGGAGGAATGGGCGGAGGGATGGGCAACGGAGGGATGGGCGGAGGGATGGGCGGCGGAGGGATGGGCGGAGGGATGGGCGGCGGAGGGATGGGCGGAGCTGGGGGCAACATGGGAGGCGGGATGGGCGGACCAGGGTCGTTTTCTCCCTGATGCGAGACATTCACTCATCACAGGAAGGAGGGGGGTGGATGGTGGTACCGTACTAGCGGAGGCATGGGTGGTAAAATGGGCGGGCGCATGGGGCGTTGATGCCGCAAGGAAAAGGTACTATTTGTAGGTGGCTTCACCACACGGCTGGTACTGGTACTGGTACTGGTACTGGGGACTGGCAGCTAGTGCAGGGGTCTCTGTAGCATTGCTGCATGAGGCGTTGGGGGTTTCATGCTTCTTTTCTTTGCCAGAGCTTGGGTGCAGCAGCACGCTCACTGGTGCATGGGCGCTGATGAATCAGTGTAGTGCTGCTTCGCCCAAGCTTGTAGCAGGTATACTTACAAGGTACACAGTCTAGACTGCTGTACCAGTATGTGTACCGCCGCACATGCTTCGCCCAAGCTCGTAGCACGTGTAGGGTGCACGGGATGGCTCTTTGTGTACCGCTTTTTGTTATTTTGGATTGTGTACATTCTTCTCCTTTGTTTGTCATCCTCGTTACGCTCTCATGACACGAGAGGCTGATCTGGTTACTACATGGAACATGCATGTGCTGGAATTGCTCACATGGTGGTATTGTGCTCAATGCTCATGGAGCAGCAGCGGTGGCTTCAACCAACCATGCTCCGAGTTAAACAGATATGGATGGATGGATAAATGCATAACACAAGCTGTTCAGTAGTGAGGAATCCTAGCCAGAGAAGCAGCAGCAGAGCAGGAGAGCAGAAAAATGCCCAGCCCTGTCATGTGCGTGGGGCTACGGTTGGTATCGTAGCTCTCTTACTCGACATACCGCATGTCAAGACACTAGTAGCTCTCCTCTGCTTCGATTTCTGGCAGCGAGAGAGTGGGCGTTGAGTGCAAGGGAGAGGGGTGGAGAGGGGAGGAGGGGGGGTAAAGGAGGGAGAGGAGGGAGGGAGGGAGCATATATGAGAGATTGCGAGGGGCGCGGAATTGGTGGGAGGGGTTGAAGATTGGTAGGCGAAAAAGGCTTACTTCTATAAGATTAGGGCCGTGACAACTCACTGTCACCGTCGTCACAAATTTCAGAGTTGTTTAGATTAGGGCGGTGAGAGTGAGGTAGAAGCCAGGATGCCAGGGAGGTGGATGGGAGTGACTTTTGAGTCGACTCAAAAGTCAGCTGGATTAGGGCGGACGGTGAGAGTGAGCTAGGAGCCAGGATGCCAGGGAGGTGAAGGGGAGTGGGGACGGAGAGGGTAAAGTAAGAGGCAGAGATACAGAACGAGAGGGATTGAGCTTGAGAGCACTAGGCGTCAGCCAGGAAAAAGGGGACAGGAAAAGGAGTTGAGAGCGGTTGAGAGGGGTGCGAGGTGGAGCAGGGATGGGAGGCAAGATGAAGGGGGAATCAAGATGGGCGAAGCGACAGATAGGGTGTCAGAACAGGGGGGGTGATCACGGTTTTTGAGGCGCCTAAAAAAATCGCTCAAGATGGGCGAAAGATAGGGTGTCAGAACAGGGGGGTGTTTATAGGTGGAGGAATTTTTGACACGTCTCAAAAGAACACGGGGGGGTGCGTTTTCTGATGAAGGGCGGGCAGAAGTGGTGCCCCAGAGATTGAGTGACACCGCCAGTAGCGGAGCATTAGGGACAGGTGATGCGAACAACACACAGACAACAGAATGAGGTGCACAGCTCTGCAAAAGAAGGGATGCGGGTGGAATTGGGGAGTGGGGACACAACACAAGCATGTAACTGTGCTTGCTTGCTTCGTCTCGCTGTGCTCAGCTCATCCCCTCATCCAGTGGGACTGCACGGTATGACACAGGGAACACAAATGAGAGCAGGGGTGAGAGATGGCGTGTGAGATGAGAACACGCAAGAGAAAGAAAGGTGATGGGTGATGTGACTCAGCTCGTAGCTGAGCGCAGCTGGGCAAGGTGAGCTCGTGCCCGTGCTCGTGCCCGGTGGTATATTGAAATCACTGGGCACAGTGCCCGTGCCCGTGCCCGTGCCCTTTTAAGAATTCTCGAAAGTGATTTGGATATAGCTGGGTGATGTGGCTCAGCTGGGCACGGTGAGCACGGGCCCGTGTCCGTGCTCAGTGGGCATTAAGCAGCAGACTTTTGAGTCGACTCAATAGTCACCTCGACTCAAAAGTCACCTCGACTCAAAAGTCACCTCGACTCAAAAGTCACCTCGACTCAAAAGTCACCTCGACTCAAAAGTCACCTCGACTCAAAAGTCACCTCGACTCAAAAGTCACCTCGACTCAAAAGTCACCTCGACTCAAAAGTCACCTCGACTCAAAAGTCACCTCAGCTGGGCACGGTGAGCACGGGCCCGTGTCCGTGCTCAGTGGGAATTAAGCAGCAGCATAGCTCACACCCATCACATGACAAGGAGCAAACGCTATGCCCAGACATTAGGAATAGAAAAGCCTTTAACAGCTGCATTATCAAGCATTGGAGTGGACTGATTGACATCAGCAGATGGCGTTATGCTGCCCAACTCTCAGCAGTAGCAGCAGCCTCGATACAGTCACAGCAGCAAGACTCACTGCGAGCAGCAGCGCTGCCCTCGCTATCCACTCCTGATTGAAATCAGCCACACAACTGCCAGCAAATGACGTTATGGGACCAATTTTCAGCAGCAGCAGCAGCCTTGATACAGTCACAGCAGCAAGACTCACAGCGAACAGCAGCCCTGCCCCCGCCACAGCCACTCGAGCCATACCGCATCAGCTGGGAAAAATGAGGAGGGATTCTCAGCCGGGGAGGGATCACGGAGCTTGGAGCAGCAGCAGCAGATAGCAGCAGGTGGAAAGAGAGGAGGAGGATCGAAGGCGGTGAGTGACGGAGGAACACACGAGGGGGATGAATGATGACCGGTGAAAGGGTGAAAGGCTGGGAGAGTGGTAGGGTGGGAGGAAGGGAGGGTGGAGGAAGGGAGGCCGCTGGGAGGGTCGGAGGAAGGGTTGGAGGGTGGGGAAACCCACAAGGCGGTGGATCAGGCTGGGGAATGATCGTGTAGGAACGGATGGGCGACTGACATGACAACGAGTGCGGAGGCGAGTTGGCATGTGGCAGAAAGAGGAGTCTGCAGAGGTGCTGAGTGGAAAGAACAACTCTTTGAGGGTTGGAGGGTGGGAGGAAGGGTTGGAGTGTGGGGAAACCCACAGGGCGGTGGATGAGGCTGGAGAATGATTGTGCAGGAACGGATGGGCGACTGACACGACGATAAGGGGGGCAACATGGTATGTCGCAGAAACAGGAGTCTGAAGTGTTACTGCGCAAAAAGAATACCTATTATTATATGTCTCATAATTAGCTACTGAGCGGAATATTTTCATGTCTTTAGGCGACTGAGTAAGTGGGAGAAGGTTAGGTTGGGGAGGGTGGTTAGGGATTGGCATGGGGACAGAGTTACGGAAAGGGCAGTGCATGGGGACTCAAGGGCAGGGGACATGCGCCGACACGCAGGGCAAGGAGGCGGGCACGGCAAGCACGGCGGCAATCTCGGGTCACAGGTGACAGCACGCTGAATAGCTGCGCGTGGCGGAGCTGCGCGTGGCGGAGCTGCGGATGGCGGAGCAGCGCGTGGCGGAGCTGCGCGTGGCGGAGCTGGCGCGCCGCTGACCCGAGGTCTCGATGTTGTCTCTCTGTCGCCAGCCATCACGATTGCATCCAATGCGAGTCGCAATGTCAGCGAGTCGCAGCGACAAGCGCGTCCAGCGGCACGGCGCTATCATAGTCTTCGGATGCGAGAGTGAATAAATTGAACTGCGCTTCGATGCGACAACCGAAATCCTCAGAGTCTTCCGTCCGCGCGCTCTAAAGCTCCCTCCCCGCACCGCACCATTCCCCAACCTCTCTCCCATCTTCCCTGCTGTCGAGCGATCTCAGCATTTCGCGACATGATCTCTCGCAACCACGTCAGCTTGGTTGAGCAGGTTGTGGTTTGCGACATGTCTCGCAACTGGTCGCAAAATTCACGAAATGGAGATGTGCATATTTGCAGTTGTGGAGCAAAATCCACGAAATGGCTCAGTACCGCAATATCGGATCGGTTTTAATCGGGGATTCGAAATGATTTATCTCGTCGAGGTGGCGAGAAAAGCTACGGTGCCTAGCTTCGCCAATCAGTCGCCTCCTCCGAATCTTGCTTCGGGCAAGCCAGTTCGTTTGCTTCCCGATGGCTTGATTGACAGGGTTACTGGCTTTCTCGCTTTGCTCGCGACCAATAGGATCATTTAAAATCTGAGGTTCGTACAGAATCATCCAACCAGCGGACTGCTTTGTCTCCATGACAGGGGAAGTCCATGAGGGTTTCGTTCAAGTCAAGCCACCCCGCAAGACCAACTCGGCCTGGGGCGAACCATTGGTTTCTGTTACTGTACCGTAAATCTGACAGCCATGGCACCAACAGCAGGAAGCCCAAGAAGCTCCCCTGATCAAGTTCCTCTCATCTTTATTGCTCTCCCTGATCAAGTTCCTCTCCAGGGACAGCCCTTCCCAAGCTTAGTCGTGGTTGTCAATCAGACGTAGCACAAGCCAGAGCTTTACCTCGTCACTCTTAGGACATGAGAATGTTTCCAAATATTCATTGTCTTTCGGACCATGTTCTTCTCAAGATCTTCTGGCATTCCGACCCTTTCCGGCCGACCTCGTCATTGTCTCTCTCGGATTATGCTACTAGGAAGGAGAACGAAAAATCAGAGCCTGACCCGCATTTTTCAACACCTCCTGCCTCTGCCGATGTCGCTCACGTTCTCCTCATTGCCTCAGTCTGCCGTCGCTGGCGTGAGCTCGCACGCGAATCCGTCACAGTGCTTCTCGTTTCTCGAAATCGCCTGGTGCCTCGCGAGTTTGTAAAACGCGTTCTGGTGTCCTTTCCAAACCTCACTCGCCTGCACTTGAGCAACGGAAGCATGGAAACGATCGACGACGATTTTCTGGCATTTCTCGGCTCTTCCTCGCCAAATCTAACCGCTCTTCATGTCGGAACTGACATTGCTCCAGTCGACGACCTCGAGCGTGACGAGGAGGAGGACATGCACTACTCTGGCGAATCCGGTCACCCCGTCACGACAGCTGGGCTGGACATTCTCTTTCGCCATTGTCGCCGCTTGGAGCAGCTGTCACTCCAGTGCCTTCATTGGACCACAAAGCTTCCGGCTTCGTTTTTCCAGTTGACGCGCCTGCACACGCTGTCATTGGGAGATGTATCGCCTTTGGTGGATCCCAACTTCGCGAACCTCTCTTCTCTCACGAGGCTGTCTATTCAAAAGCTGGACATGCGGTTGCACCAGATGTCGCCGTTAACTCGCCTTCCGAATCTGACCAGCCTGTTCTTCCCAGGAGAGACATACTTCCACAGTTTCGAGGGGGATTTCTCATTTGGTCAACTGACAAATCTTCGTTCGCTGGGATTCGTGCGGGGAACAACGGACTTCCCTGCAATGTTTCCGCCAGAATCACCGTGTTTCAGTCTTCAACGTCTGCTGCTAAGTAATGTTCCGAGCATCCCGCCTGAGGAGCTTGGAGAACGGTTCCCAGTACTTCGCGAACTCTGCCTTTTCGGTAGCCGTTATTCTGATGAGCTACTGGTACCAGATTCCCTCACAAGCCTTAGCACCTTGGAAGTTCTAACCATTCTCAACTGCAATATATCCAACCTGCCCGAGAATTTTGGAGATTTTTCAGGGCTGAAGTCATTGGTGTTGAGCAGCTTGTCGCTGAAGAGGCTCCCCGATTCTATTTGGTTACTCACAGGGCTTCAAAAGCTATCTATGGACTACGTGGGCATTGACACCCTTCCTGCAGCGATTTCCTGCTGGCTGGTCTTGAATCGTTGAGCATCGCAAGATCAAGGCTAATTGCTATTCCGGAGGAGATATGCCTTCTGACCAATCTCCGCGATTTGGAGCTGAGGTCGTGTAAAGAACTGCAGCAGCTGCCGTCGTCATTCAGTAGTCTCCCTTCTCTAACGCGGCTCGATATCAGCAAATGTCCCATTGCTAACCTTCCAGAGGGTATAGGCCATCTTGGTGACCTGCGGGAGCTGACCTTGAGCTGCTGCAATGAGCTGACTGCACTGCCAGCATCCATCACTCAACTGAGCCGCCTGAAGACTTTGAAGGCATGCACGTGTATCAAGCTCGCGTCTGCACCTCGAGCCTTGGAAAACCACTCATGCCTGCGGGAGCTGGATCTGACGGGATGTGTTCTTTTGCAGGCGACTTTAGAATCTTTGCCAAGGTCGTTGGAAACCTTGAGCTTGGGAACCGACACCAGCAGCATCATTCTTCCAGACATGTCAACAACTTCGAACCTCAAGAAGCTGAAATTGATTCGGGTTACCATCACGGACGCACTAGCGACCAGCCGTGACCTCTCTCAGATAGAGCACCTGGAGTTGCGCCTGGGTGCTGAACAAGCAGAGTTTCCTCTCCTCCTCGGGTTCCTTTCATGCCTTCGTAATCTACACATCTCAAATGCCAAGGCATTGAAACACCTGCCTCATGACCTCGGTTCTGCTCTGCCTCGGCTGCGACAGCTGCATGTGGAAGGCGCGGACGTTCTGAGGGAGATTCCAAATAGTGTATCACTGCTGGTGCAACTCAAATCTCTTCACATTGAAGCTCCAAGACTGACCCATCTTCCTGACACCATCTCTTCCTTAACGAGACTGGGCGACCTTAGCCTGCGTAATTGCTCCTCCCTGACAAGCCTGCCCAGTTCTTTCACCAACCTCACTTACCTGCAGAGATTGGATCTCAGCGAGACGGCACTTCACTTCCTTCCTCCAAACTTCCACCATTTGGCACGACTCAGAGAGCTGGACCTGAGTGGCTGTGGGCAGTTACCGTCCCTGCCGCAACACCTGTCTAACTTGATGCTGCTGCGAGTGCTGAATCTCAAGGGCTGCAAGATTCTTGGCCGAGAGCCGGTGCCTGGCCAAGAGCCGATGCTTGAGGATCTTTACGCAAGGCTTGGACTCAAGGTGTACCAGACAAAGCATATTTGGTCAATCAACATCTAGGTTTTTTTGTTACAAATGGAGCTGGCTCCATGAGGTAGTTTGGGTTTGCATATTTGTGTACAACTGCCGTATTCATAATTTCATAGATAAGCACAGCACGTGCCGTACTACAGGGTGCTTTTGTCCAAAACATGCACGGGTGGATTCAGGACTGAAAAAAACATTTCCAGAAACATATTCAGAGCTTTAAATGAAGGGTTAGGTAACCTTGGAAATGTCTTTGTGGCCCATTTTACTCCACCATGTTTGACTTCTGAGCAAGGCAGGGCGAAATTTCGGTACACATCTGACCTTGGTAACTCCAGTCAAGCAAGGTTTGGTTTTTAGTGGAGAGATGTATCGATATACAACAGAGACTGTACTCTGCGAAGAAGCTGGGGTACATCCAGGATTAAGCATAGAAAGCACCAGAAACATGCACTGCCCAGTCACGTGCTTGGGGCTGCTGCTGGTACGGTACCCTGTAGCCCTCTGCCTCGTTATAAGGTACTGCACAACACTAGTAGCCTTCGGCCACACTATAAGGTGTCTATAACCTCTGCCTTGTTATAAGGTGCCTCAAGAAACTAGTACCGTAGCTCCTCTCTGCCTCAGTATCTCGCCGCGAAAGTGTAGTGGATGGCATTGAGTGCGAGCTGGGCAAGGGAGAGGGGCGCCGGAGTGGGAGAAAGGGCAGAGAAGTTAAAGCGTTTTCGACAGCAAATGACTGAGAAGGGAACGGCTTGGGTGGGTGGGAGTGTTGGCGGGGAGGGTGAAAGAAGAGAAATAGAGGACAGGACTGAGCGATCCCTGTAGAGCTTTGAATACGGGTGTTAAGAAAAGGCTGGAAGTCAGAAGATCAAGAAAAGGGAGGAGAAGAAAGGGAAGGAAGGGGTTGGGGGGAGGGAGGTGGGGTTTGTTGGAGGAGAGAGAAAGAGTATACGATGGAAAGAGGGATCGAGGTTGAGAGCAGTGGGAGTTTGCCAGGAGAGAGAGCAGAGGGGAAAGCGGAAGTAGTTAAGAGCGTTGAGAGGGGTGTGCGGTGGAGCAGAGATGAGAGGCAAGACGAGGAGGTGGGAGCAGGGGTGTTGATGGATGGGCAGCCGTAGTGGTGCATGATTGGCAGCAGTGGTGCATGATTGGCAGCAGCGGTGCATGATTGGCAGCAGTGGTGCATGATTGGCAGCAGTGGTGCATGATTGGCAGCAGTGGTGCATGATTGGCAGCAGTGGTGCATGAGAGAATCGGTGAGCAGCCAGCAGAAGAGCCGAAGGAACAGGGCAGGTGGCACGACAAGGTTTGCAGAAGAAGGGACACAACACTAGCATCTGATTGTGGTTGTTTCCACGGTTGGTTGCTTCATCTCGCTTCATCTCACCCTGCTCGTTTCATCTCACCGTGCTCGTTTCATCTCACCGTGCTCGTTTCATCTCACCGTGGTCATCTCATCATCCAGTGGCCCCCCATGGTACGATACCGTGAACACATCCTTCGCCACCACGCCCTGCATGCACAGAGATGGGAGATGATAGAGGGTGATTGTTGCGAGAGATGTGAAGCATGGAAAAGGTCCATCAACACATCCTTCGCCACCACGCCCTGTATGCACGTGAATGGGAGATGAGCCATGAGAGACAGACAGATGCGGTGATCATTGTGTGGGATGGAACACATCATTGTGATAATTGTCAACACATCCTTCGCCACCACGCCCTGCATGCACAGATATGGAGGATGGACCATGGGAGAAGGGTGGTGATGATTAGTGTGTGGGATGCGAAGAGTGGTACACATCCTTCGCCACCACGCCCTGCACGCACAGTGGCACTCACAGAGAGCACATCCTTCGCCAACATATACTGGCAGGCAATGGGCGTGCACCACACTCACCACACCAGCCTCACCTCACGACGCGTCTACACCTACCTCGGTGTGGATCTCTGCAGCTCTGCTGACGTCACACTGACGGAGATCCCTGCCTGTCAAGAAATTCACGATCTCCATCAACAGCCCCGACCTCCACCCCAAGCTTGCTTCCCGTGCTGTCCAGGAGGGGCGTTAGCGCCATGCGCGTTGGTACACTCAAGTCGATTAAGCCGCCTCCACCTCAGGTCGCTGCTGCTGCTGTCGGGGAGGGGTGTGTTGAAATGCCGGGCCGTGGGGAGTGGGAGCACCCATGAAGGGAGAGGGTGAAAGCATGCAAGCATCGATCGGGCCGATCTGCTGCCTCCACGCTCAGCTTGCTGCCGCTGCTGTCCGGCAGGGGCGTGATCGCCATGTGCGTTGGAATACCAGGCTCTGTGGGGAATGGGATGGGAGGGAGATTGAGGAGATGATAGACTCAGCAGCAGGCACATACACACAAGTACACCATGTCCCCCCAGTGGTGCACACACCAGCCACCACCCAACACCCAGCATTAAGCACCAAGCACCTATCCCATTTCCTGCCACCCTCCCCTCACTCACACTGCACGGTGGAGAGTCGCATGTGAGGCCCATGGCCAGCTGCGTGCCGCACCCCTGAGATGGGGAGAGGTGGGGTTCGGTGCAAGGAGGTGAGTCGCATGTGAGGCCCATGGCTAGCTCCGTGCCTGACTCCTGAAGGTGGGGAGAATGGGAAAGGGGGGAGGGGAACAGATTGAGGTGCAGGACGGTGGGGTTCGGTGCAGGGAGGTAAGTCGCATGTGAGGCCCATGGGTAGCTGCGTGCCTGACTCCTGAAGGGGGGAAGGGTAGCGGGAAGGGTGAAGGGGAAGGGACGGAGAGAGGGGTGCTGATCGGTGGGCTTCGGTGCAAGGAAGCGAGTAGCATGTGAGGCGCATGTGAGGCGCATGTGAGGCGGATGTGAAGCGCATGTGAAGCGCATGTGAGGCGCATGTGAAGCGCATGTGAAGCGCATGTGAGGCGCATGTGAGGCGCATGTGAAGCGCATGTGAAGCGCATGTGAGGCGCATGTGAGGCGCATGTGAAGCGCATGTGAGGCGCATGTGAAGCGCATGTGAAGCGCAGCGCATGCGAAGCGCAGCGCATGTGAGGCGCATATGAGGCGCAGCCCATGAAATTGTAGCTGGAAAGGGGGAGGGAGAAGGGGGCACGCAAACTACATACTGATTGTAGGCAAGTACTAAGCAGTGCACTCACAGGGTGGTGAGCGCGCAGAGCCGGGCGACGTCGGTGCTGCTAAGCAGAGCATGTCCTACATATCACAGGGTTTTTATTGTCCTCGCTAACTTCTCGATAATTTGGTGCGTGACGGCTCGCGGATGCGATGCATTCGCAGGGCTTTTTAGAGCGTGGAAGCTTCGAAACTCGGTGTTTCCTGAACTGCTCCCCAGCGTCTTCAATTTCACAGACCCCTGCCAGGCCTCGATTTCAGATTGCCCCACCTCGATGGTGCTTCCCTATAACGTGCCTATTATCGGATTCATTCAGCCACACCTGTGATACAGTTATTCTGCGCTCATAATAAATTCACTAAACAGCCTTTCTCAGATGCGCCAATATTGATTATTTGCCTTCCCCTCATGTGTACAGTATCTCCGCCACGGTTCCACCACCATCCGGACCTACCTCTGCAGCCTCGCCACAGCGCGGAGCCCCCAGGTTTGGTGCTTGTACTGTTGACGCCTCATTGTGCGGTTACCCCAACATGCGCCTCTGCCCCGTTGTGCTTGTGCACAACCCGTCTGCACTGCAGTCAAATGGTGCGCTGGATCTCAGAAGTCCCGTTCCCAATGTCGGGTTTCATCGTCGTTTCAGATGCTCAAAGAAACAAATGTTTTACTAAGTAAACTACAGTTATCAATCGATCTCCATGCTATTCGCTCCATCGGATCCAAAAAACAACCAAACCCCAAGCACAAGAGGTGCAACTTGTTAGCGCAAGACAACCGTATCCGACCTCTTTGCATATCTGTACACGCCCCATTTGAACCCGACTTATTCCTCCCCGAGCCGCGTCGGCGCTGCAATCACTCGACGCGCCGCTCGCCGAGTCGCCAGATGCGCTGCCGCCAGAAGTGCCGTACACTGTAGTTATGAAGTTCGGCGGCTCGTCGGTGGCGAACGCGGCGCGCATGAGGGAGGTGGCAGATCTGATTTTGTCATTTCCAGAGGAGAATCCGATCATCGTCATGTCCGCCATGGGGAAAACGACAAACAACCTGATCAAAGTACGCCGTGCTCTGCTGACCGAATTTTGACTAATAACGCAAATGTGGATCGTGTGATGCGATTTCAGAAATGGTTCTTAGATCGTGGCTACGTGGGCGTAAACTGGGCTTCTGAGAGTCGTTTTTCCCGCTTATGGAGAGTGAAAGCCGGCTAACGGAGTCGTCTTCGTAGCCGGTCTTAAAATCGTTGTTCTTGTGCCGGATTTAGGGGTATTGACATTTGCAAGCCACTCTCCGCCAATCACGAGCGTACCTCGTTTTCTCAACTCGTCGTGCCTTTTTGCTTCTCCGCTAAGTCTTACCCACAGCGAAGGCGAATTCACAACTCGCTCTACCTTCACTGTATCCCCGTTACTGGCAGGTAGGCGATAGGGCGCTGACGTGCGGCTCCACCAAGTGCGCGGCGATAGACGAGCTGCGAGTAATCAGAGAGCTCCACGTGTCCACCATGGAGGAGCTCGGCGTCGAATGCGCTGAGGTGCATGGTGAGCGGTGTGGGTGAGGCAATTGGGTGAGTTTTGTGGGAGATTTGGGTGCGCAAGTGATGATAATTATGTGTGCGAACGAGCTAGCCCCTGCATTCATGGGCGAGAGCAGCTCGGGGTGTGTTGAACTCTTGAGGGTTAAACCCTGTAAAACCCCTCGGAGTGTGTTGAACTCTTCCGCTACGCTCTGTGTTGTGCGCAAGCTGCTTTCTGAATCATTTTGCGCTGTTTATGCCAACCGTCCACTCACTCAGCTCCGCTCATATGCTCTTGATTTCCAATCAAATCTGGTTCCTCACTCACCTCTTCCCCTTTTTTCAACTTCCCCCCCCTGCCCCCTCTGACCAGAACTGATGCACGAGCTGCAGCAGCTAGTAACGGGGATAGCGCTCATGCGCGAGCTGACTCCGCGTTCCTCGGATTACCTCGTGTCGTTCGGCGAGCGCTGCTCCACGCGCATCTTCGCCGCCTACCTCAACTCCTTGGGAGTGCCGTCCAAGCAGGTATGGTGCCGACCAGGCCGTCCGTCCGCCCCTCCCTCCCTCCCTCCCTCGACGCGTTCCACATGGGCGAGTTCACCAACGCCGACGTGCTGGACGAGACCTACCCTGCTGTGGCCAACTCCCCATATGTCATTCCGTCACCCTTCCCTCCATCCCTCCCTTCCCAATCAGTTCGACGCGTTCCGCATGGGTGTGATCACAACGGACGAGTTCACCAACGCCGACGTGCTGGACGAGACCTACCCTGCTGCTGTCTCATGCCCCAACCTCTCGTACTCCCTCCTCCCCCTCCATTCCCCCCCTGAATCAGTTCGACGCGTTCCACATGGGAGTGATCACAACGGACGAGTTCACCAACGCGGACGTGCTGGACGAGACTCTTTGATGATGGCCCCTAACGCCCCATGCACGCTCCCATACCCACCCTCTCCCCCCCCCCACCTACTCCCTGCATTCCCCAGTTCGACGCGTTTCACATGGGAGTGATCACAACGGACGAGTTCACCAACGCGGACGTGCTGGACGAGACCTACCCCGCCGTGGCGGAATCGCTCCTCTCCGCCTATGATGCTCACCGGGAGGCTGCTGCTGCCAGTGATGACGGCGGCGGGGTTGGCAGCAGGGCGTTTATCCCAGTCGTTACGGGCTTTCTGGGCAGGGTGAGTGGATGAGTCGAGATAGGGAGAGAGTGGAGTGGGGCAGATTTAGAGTGGGAGGGAGAGTGGAAAAGGGAGCGGACGTGCTGGACGAGACCTACCCTGCTGTGGCAGACTCCCTCCTCTCCGCCTATGATGCTCACCGGGAAAGTGCTGCTGCTGCCAGCGGGGATGACAGCAGCAGCAGCAGCAGGGCGTTCATTCCTGTGGTCACAGGTTTTCGCGGCCGGGTGAGTGGAGTAGAAAGAGGGTGGGGCGTCCAGTATCAAATTACTGAAGGTGTGTATGGGTATGCACGTGCAATCATTGGGTGTGTAGTGGACCGTCTATATAACCACTTAATTGCAAGAACGTGGCTGGCAAACCCAGATGGATACGCGGTGCCTGCAAGAGCGCCTCTCTGCTTGGTTGCACCGTGGTTGGGTCCATGTCATCAGCTTAACTTACATCACCAACATGCCGTACCTCCTCTCAACCATCTCCCCTCGCCCCTCGCCCCTCATCCCTGTTCCCTCCCTCAGGGCAAGAAGACGGGAGCAACGACCACATTGGGCCGCGGAGGCAGCGACCTGACGGCGACCATCATAGGGCGAGCGCTGGGGCTGCGGGAGGTGCAGGTGTGGAAGGACGTGGACGGGGTGCTCACCTGCAACCCCAACCTGCACCGTGCCTCACCTTTGCGGAAGCCTCCGAGCTGTCATACCTTAGAATATTTGAGACGTCTCAATACATGTTTTTCCTCCTCTCCCCCATCTCCCTGCGCCATGACCCCTCGGCCCGCCCTCCCTCAGGGCAAGAAGACGGGAGCAACTACCACATTGGGGCGTGGCGGCAGCGACCTAACAGCCACCATAATAGGGCGAGCGCTGGGGCTGCGGGAGGTGCAGGTGTGGAAGGACGTGGACGGCGTTCTCACCTGCGACCCGAACCTCTACCGTGCCGCCATTCCTGTGCCCTTCCTCACCTTCGAGGAAGCTTCCGAGCTGGCCTACTTTGGAGCGCAGGTGCTGCATCCTCAGAGCATGCGGCCTGCACGGGAAGGGAACATCCCTGTGAGGGTGAAGAACTCGTATAATCGCATCGCTCCTGGCACATTGATTACCCAAGAGAGGGATTTGTCGTCGGCGCTCCTGACCAGTATCGTGGTGAAGCGTGGGGTTACCCTGCTGGATCTGGTCAGCCTGAGGATGCTCGGGCAGTTCGGGTTCCTGGCAAAAGTTTTTGCGATTTTCGAGGCGCAGGGGATTTCGGTGGATGTGGTGGCCACGAGTGAGGTGAGCCTGTCGCTGACGCTGGACCCTGCGAAGCTGTGGTCTCGAGAGTTGATTCAGCAGGAGCTGGATAAGATGGTGGAGGAGCTTGAAAGAGTGGCGGTGGTGAAGTTATTGCAGCGGCGGTCGATTATTAGTCTGATTGGGAACGTGTCGCGGTCGTCGGTGATTCTGGAGAAGGTGTTTGGCGTGTTCAGACGAAACGGGACAAACGTGCAGATGATCTCGCAGGGAGCGTCCAAGGTGAGATGAGGAATTTTTGCAGAGTGTGTCAGATCAGATGTCACATCAAATTCTTTTAAATGGAGTCTTGAACAAGGTGTTTGTTGAGTAAATGCTGACGTTGGGTGCTCCACTGTCTGCAGGTGAACATTGCATTGGTAGTGGACGATGATGAAGCCACGGAGCTGGTGCAGCTGCTCCACAAGGAGTTTTTTGGTGTCTAGGACTTCTGGGGTATTCTGGAGTGTGTTATAGCGCAGCACAAGCTGTGCAGGTAGATGTGAGTGTAATGAAGTTACGTGCTTTGTATCGTGTGGGATGTTTGTTCAATAAGTAGTGAAGTAGGACCAGTTCAGGAATTCAATTCAGAGTTAGAAATGTTAAGCTGTAAATTAATCAAAGGTTTTTATCGAGTTTAGAGATCCCCTTATTCATGGATGCGAAGTCCGGTAGTGCCACGTATGAGATCTGCATTGGGCCCAGGTCAATATGTTCTCCTCCAGAAAGTGCCGCCATGTGGCGTAGCTGACAGTGCGAGCGACAATGCCAGCGTGGAGGAATCTTCAAGCATCTGGACGCGCTCGCCATTGGTCAATGCGGAGAATCTCTACCGAGTTCCTTCATTACAGGCACCTGTCCTGTCCTGATTCTTCATTTGCGGCACAAATCATGTACCAAGAGCGAGGGATTGCCCGTCCCCCTCGAGATCCTCGAATTGCTTCAGTAGAGGTCGGTGCAGCGGCAGCAGAAGAAGCAGCAGGGATGCCAGGGATTCCAATTTCCAGTCATTCAGTCTTGCCTTCCCTCACATATACATTTCACCACTAGTGTATTCAGCCATAGCTTGCGTGAAAGCACAGCTTCAAGAAGGTTGGTGGTCATCTTGTTCCTGACCGTGCTGTCCAGTGAGTTTTGTGCTTGAGCGAGTATTGTTACCCGCCGACGGCAGTGCTCATCACTTGTCGCGTTTAGCGTTGACAGGGAATTTGCGAACCTTGGCGCATCACGTGTTGCCATCAACACCGTCGCGCCGTTGACATAATCGTCCACGCACCTATTCTCCGACATGGCTGCCGTGTCCGCTGTCCCCGCCGTTTCTACCGTCTCCGTGGTTTCCGGCATGTTCGACGTGGCGACGACTAATTCTGCTGTGCGTGCCACCACCACATTCAACGGTCCCATCTTTTTCACGCTAGACACCGGCCGTTCGCTGAGCAACAGCCATCGCGGGCAAAGAAGGTACGCAACAGCAGAAGCGATCGTGATTTGCGCTAGTTCATCTGTTTCCCGCTTCCTTTCGGAATTGAGACGCGCATTTGAGGCAAATTTGAATGTCGGGCTACACGTGGTTCTCATTTATCTGGCAAAACATGCATCTTCGTATAATGAACAAGACTCTCACTGTGACGCGACCACGTAGGGCTCCTTCTTTGTTCGCTCTTCGTACTCTTTGTTCGTTCTTTGACTTTCTAGTTCCGCATGTCGTCTTTCTTACCCCCCCACTTCCTCACCTTGTCCGTGCGTCACTTCATCTCTGCGTAATCAATGACGTTCTTTTTTCCCCCTCTTCGTTCCCGTCGTGATCAAAGAAAAACGAGATATATATTGCTGCTCCAACTTCCATGCTAGACGTACCTTGCTCGATATCGATACGATGCCATTTGAGCACCTTTTTAACCAAACCGCATCCACTTTAATCCCCTCACTCCCCTCTTCACTCTTCACCCAGCCCCTCTGCTGCTTGCGCAGCTCGTTCTACCCTCTCCTCCCTTGCGACTGCTGCTAGTTCACGATCTGCAAGGAAGGTGAGACGCATGGCAATTCGTGGCATGTCGTGGCGGCACATGAAGTCCATAGCAATGGCATGACTTGAACAGCGTGGCACGACGTGACAACGTGGCATGATGTGGCAACGTTGCAGGTCAGCCTGGCACGGAAGATAAAACGAACCTCCAGCATGTGGAAGTTGAAACAAAAACTAATTTCCAAATAAAAAAGGAAACGGAATTTTCGTTCGTTATCCCTATCTGTCCCATCACTCTTCTTTCTCCCACTTATCAGCACCAGTGTTGGCAGCAGCAGCAGGCACAACGCGATAAATGCCGGTGCCAGTGGTGGTGATAGATAACCACCGTGGTGGTGTTAGATAACCACTCCGAGGCCAATGCGACCACGTTGGACGGGCTTCCAGCTTGGGGAGGAAAATCACTGCTCCCATTCCTCCACCTAGCTCTGCCTTCTCCCACCTTCTCCCACCCTCTCCCACCTTCTCCCACCCTCTCCCACGCTCTCCCACCTTCTCCCACCCCTTCCCACCTTCTTCCACCAGGCAAGCCACACTGTAGTGGCGGCAGCAGCAGCAGGCACAACGCAGGCGGCGACAGAGGAGGTGCCGGTGCCGGTGGTGGTGATAGACAACCACTCGGAGGCCAATGCGACCGTTGTGCAGCTCGAGTTTGGGGATAGGCTGGGAGCACTCATGGACACGGTGAGTTGGTGTGGTTTGGTGGGGTGTGGTGGAGTGGGGTGCGGTGTGGTGTGGTGTGGTGTGGTGGGGTCTGATGTGGTGTGGAGGAGGGAGAGAAGGTGCCAGTGCCGGTGGTGGTGATAGACAACCACTCGGAGGCCAATGCGACCGTTGTGCAGCTGGAGTTTGGGGACCGGCTTGGGGCACTCATGGACACGGTGAGCTGCTCGTGGGGAGTGAGGGGTGTGACTGCGAGGAGCAGAGGCATGAAGTGGGTGTGATAGGCAACCATCTTGCCTGTCCACATCGCCTCCCCTCCCACCTCGCCTCTCACTCACCCTGCTCCCGTCCGCCCTACCAATTAGAATCACCGCGCAGTCTCGACTTGGGTGTGGTAAAAGGTTTAGTTTTGAAACGCCTCAGAACTAGGCTTCGACGTGGTGAGACGGCACGTGACTGCCTTGCCTAGTCAACTTAGTCCGCACCTCGCTTACTGCTCTCCCCGCCTTGCCTCGCCAATCCCTCTCCCTGCTCCCGTCCCTTCTCTTTGCTCCCACCCCCCTGCACTACCGGATGGTGGCGCTGCGCAGTCTGGGGTGAACGTGGTGAAGGGGCACGTGTTTCCCGAGTCAGCTCGGAACTCACCTCTCCTACTGCTCTCCCCGCCTTGCCTCGCCAATCCCTCTCCCTGCTCCCGTCCCTTCTCTTTGCTCCCACCACCACCCGCCCTACCAGATGGCAGCGCTGCGCAGTCTGGGGCTGAACGCTAAGGAACGCAGTGTGACTCCATCGTCCGCTTAGAGCTCGCCTTTCCTCTCTCTGCTCACCTCTATCCCTGCCCTGCCTCCCCACTCCCTCACCGCCCTACCAGATGGCAGCGCTGCGCAGTCTGGGGCTGAACGTGGTGAAGGGACGCGTGACTCCCAAGTTCGCTCAGAGCTCGTCCCACCTATCTCTGCTCACCACTATCCCTGCGTCCCCACTCCCTCACTTCCCTACCAGATGGCAGCACTGCGCAGTCTGGGGCTGAACGTGGTGAAGGGGCGCGTGACCACTGCAGGCACCTGAAAGCTCACTGCCCTTCCTGCCTTGGCTTCCCAACCCCTCTCCTCCCATCCCCACCCTGTTCTCACCACTCCCCTTGCTGGCAGATGGCAGCACTGCGCAGTCTGGGGCTGAACGTGGTGAAGGGACGCGTGACGACAGTAGGAACCGTTGCTCGCAACACCTTCACCATCACGCAGGAGTGAGTGCCGTGTGGTGGGGGGAGAGGAGTTGAAGAGGGGGATGATGGCCAAAGAAGGGAGATTGGCGGGCCGGAAGTTCTGGGGAGGGAATACAGCGAGTGGGCGGTGACTGGAGGGTGGGTGGGGCGTGTGACCACTACAGGCAGCGTGGTTCGCAACACCTTCACCATCACGCAGGAGTGAGTGCCGTTTGAGGGGGAGGGGGTTGGGCAAGGACGGAAGAGTGAGTGAGGAGGGGGTTGGGAGGAGGATGGCCAAAGGGGGGAGAGTGGCGGAAGGTCGGGGAAGGAAAGGACGAGGGATGGTGGTGAATAGATGGGCGGGTGGCGATTGCAGGCAGTTTTGCATGCAGTGATGTCACCATCATCCAGGACTGTGAGGAGAGGCGTGGAAGGGGTGGCGCTCCCCTTGGAAGGTGCACAGCAAACGTTGGCGCATTGTGTAACGCTCTTTTGAGATGTCGCAAATCCCTCCCTCTTTGCTCGATCCCTTCCATGCGCTTCTCCAAGCGGCCCTCCCTTGCCTCATACTGCAAAAGCAAAATTGCCAAAAGAGATAATGCCAAAAAGCACACGTCATCTGTCCCAAATACTAAACCATCCGCACCCCCTGCGCTGCCATGCCATTCCACATACCCTCCATGGCCGTGCGACACGAGATGACTTCGTATTTGAATAGATAATCTCATCCTCTGCCCTGACCTGCCCTGCCCTTCCCATCCCAACCCATCCCATACCATCCTTTGCTCTGCCACCCCACACACCGCCTCCACTTGCAGGGGTGGCAAGGTGGAGAGCGCTGAGATGATAGAGGCCATTCGAGGCACCATCATCGCCAACCTGCTCAAGTACCACCCTGTGAGTGCTGCTCCTCAAGTGCTGATCTCTGCACTTCTGATGCACTGTGTGGTTTGCATGCCTTCCTGTGAGAGCTACTCACCACTCTGTGAGTGCTCCTATGTGCATTGCATGCCACCACCCCGTGATCGCTGCTGCTTGCATGCATCGCCCGCAACCCCGTGATACGTAGTATAATCCCGCGTGCTCTTCCCTTTCCCCCCCAACCCCTTCCCAATCAGGGATACATCGATCAGCTAGCCGTGGGCCTCACATGCAATTCGCCTCCTTGCGTCAACTCCACCATCCTGCATTCCGCTCCTCTCCTTCCCTTCCCCCTTCCCCCTCCCCCCTTCTCCCTTCCCCCTTCCCCCTTCCTCTTCACCCTCTCCCTTCCCACGCTTACCTGCAGGAGTCAGGCACGCAGCTAGCCATGGGCCTCACATGCGACTCACCGCCCTGCACCGAACCCCACCGTCCTGCACCTCAATCTGTTCCCCTTCCCCCTTTCCCGTTCTCCCCACCTGCAGGAGTCAGGCACGCAGCTAGCCATGGGCCTCACATGCGACTCACCGCCCTGCACCGAACCCCACTGTCCTGCACCTCAATCTGTTCCCCTTCCCCCTTTCCCGTTCTCCCCACCTGCAGGAGTCCGGCACGCAGCTAGCCATGGGCCTCACATGCGACTCACCTCCCTGCAATGTGAGTGAGGGCAAAGCTGCAGGTACTCGGGTGCGCGGTGCGTGGGGCAGTGGTTGGGAGGTAGGGCAGAGCAGAGTCAAATGCCTTTTTTGCGACTGCACCAGCGAGCAACTCGTGCTTCTGGAACCTCTAAGCACGTGCACTGCTGCAGCACAGGTGCCCAGTCACGTTCGCTTCAGTGACTGCTACTTCGTGACCCAGCAGGCCAGGCAGCAGGTACCTCTCTTCCAGGTACCTGACCCAGTTTTCTCCTCCGCAGCGTGTGTTTTTTGAGACTTCTCAAAAAACACTCGCTGCTTCAGTGACTACTACTTCGTGACCCAGCAGGTCAGGCAGCAGGTACCTGACCCAGTTTTCTCCTCCGCAGTGGCTGCTGCTCCCCTCTCCCTGTTCTCCCAGCCTTCACCCCGCGCGCTTCCCCACGCTGCCACCCTGCTACCAGGCGTCTGAGTGCTCGCACATCGTCTCGATTGCTATCGCTCACGTCCTTCACAAGAGAGCATGCCAACGCACATGCCGCTCGTGCCCCTGACAGGGCAGCGAGCTGAGGGTGGAGGCGGCAGACCGGCAATGTATACTTGCATTGACCTGCTTCGTACATGCTCCCACCCCCACAGGCGAGTGTGCCAACGCGCATGGCGCTCACGGCCCTCCCCGACAACAGCAACAGCGAGCTGAGGGTGGAGCAGCAGACCGGCCAGGACAGTTCCAAGGTGCCCCAAGCATCGTCTTCCCTCACCCTCACTGCTGCCTCACTCAACCTGACAGCAGCGGCAGCGAGCTGAGGGTGTAGGGGGCAGACCGGCCGGAGCTGATCACTTATGAGGCGCCCCAAGTGTCACTCGCCCTCACTCTCATGCTTCCTCCCATCCCACAAGCGAGTGTGCCAACGCGCATGGCGCTCACGCCCCTCCCGGACAATAGGGCAGCGAGCTGAGGGTGGAGGCAGCAGACCGATAATTGACGCATGTATCGTCCCCTACACCTGTGCTTCCACCCATCCCCCACAGGCGAGCGTGCCAACACGCATGGCGCTCACACCCCTGCCTGACAACACAGGCAGCGAGCTGAGAGTGGAGGCGGTGGACTGGCAGACCGGCAGACCTTTCTAATGACCGATGCATGCATACCCTCCCTACATGTGTGCCCCCTTACATGCACTCCCACAGGCGAGTGTTCCAACACGCATGGCGCTCACGCCCCTCCCGGACAACAGCGGCAGTGAGCTGAGGGTGGAGGCAGCAGACCATTGATTGGTGCTTGCTTTCTCTCTCTTCACATGCACTCCCACCCCCCACCCACCCCAGGCGAGCGTGCCAACACGCATGGCGCTCACACCCCTGCCTGACAATAGTGGCAGCGAGCTGAGGGTGGAGGCAGCAGACCGGCCGGGACTTCTGATGGAGATCGTGGATGTGCTGACGGGGATGTCCGTCAGTGTGACGTCAGCAGAGATTGACACCGAGGTGGGTGTGGTGCTAATCTGGATGGGTCCTCTTTTTTATTCAACTCAAACGTGGGCCCTGAGGGGTGCTCACTGGAGATCGTGGATGTGCTGACGGGGATGTCTGTCAGTGTGACGTCAGCAGAGATCGACACCGAGGTGGGTGTGGTTCTGGTCTGGATGGGTCCTGATGGGTGCTGAGGGTGGCGTGGTGAGGGGGGTGTTTTGAGATGTCTCAAAACACGCATGGTGGGGGGGGGGGGGCAGGACTGCTGATGGAGATCGTGGATGTTCTGACAGGGATGTCTGTTAGCGTGACGTCCGCAGAGATCGACACCAAGGTGGGTGTGACGTCCGCAGAGATCGACACCGAGGTGGGTGTGACGTCTGCAGAGATCGACACCGAGGTGGGTGTGACGTCAGCAGAGATCGACACTGAGGCGCGTGCACGCAAAGGCTGTGTGCTGTGTGAGTGCGGCTATGAACCTGTGTTGTGGAACGAGTCGAGTCGAGAGAGCTGTGGAACGATGTTGCAGGGTGTTTTTGAGATTTCTCAAAAACACTCTGTGAGTGCGGCTGCGAACCTGTGTTGTGGAGCGAGTCGAGTAGAGCGAGCTGTGCTGTGAATCGGTACGCATGCACCCCTTCACTCATGCTCGTCTCCCTGTATTGTTTTTGAGACGTCTCAAAAACAACCTCGCTACACGTAGAGCGAGCTGTGCTGTGAATCGGTACGCATGCACCCCATTGAACTTCCAATGCTGCACTGTAATCACCATCTCCCATCTCCCATGGCCCATCGTTCAACTATGCATGCAGGGCATGGTGGCGAAGGATGTGTTCACGGTGTCGTACCATGGGGGGCCACTGGATGATGAGATGACCACGGTGAGATGAAACGAGCATGGTGAGATGAAACCGTCACAGTGACTTGAAACGAACACGGAGAGATGAAACCATCACGGTGAGATGAAACCGTCACAGTGAGATCAAACGAGCACGGAGAGATGAAACGACCGTGGTGAGATGAAACAATTACGGTGAAATGACACTATTACGTTGAGATTCTTGTGTCCGCTGCCCTGTGGGTTCAACTTGTTCGTTCTCTGAAGCACCATCACCTTCCATCAAGAGTGAACACACGTGCTCTCTTTCCTCTTACCGCTCATGCCTCCTCCCCATCACACCTCGCACAGTGCTCTCAACCCTTCTCTCTTTCCCTGTTCTCCTGGCTGGCTCCTAGTGTTCTCACCCCCATACCACCTCTCTCCCCATCCCATCAGTCCTCGTTTTCTGCTTTCCCTTCCCCTCCCTCGTCCCCACCCCCCTCCTTCCGTCTCATCCCCGCTCCCAGTGCATTGCCACCACCCTGGGCTAATACATTCAAGAGCTCTCTGAACCCTTCGCTTTTTACACCCCCTCCCCACCCCCCCGCTTTCTCATTTCCAAACGCTTCTCAATCAATCCATGTCCTCGTTACACTCTCTCATCCTTCTTTCCACATCTCCCACTCCATCTCTCCTCTCGCTTGCCCTCCACAGCTCACACTCAACGCCCTCAACTACACTCTCTCATCTCTGCATCTCCCTCTTTCTTTCCCTCCCTCCATTCCCACGCCCCTCCCAGCTCACACTCAATGCTCTCAACTACACTCTCTCACGGCCAGACATCGAAGCAGAGGAGAGCTACTAGTGTCACGAGGCACCTTATAACGAGGCAAAGTAGGGCAGAAAAGTATTGAGGTACCTCCTCACGACAACAGAAATCTGCAAGAACCACGTCCAGGCACAAGACAGGCGTGGGCAAGTGCTGCTCCTTTCCTTTCATTATGATTTAATTTACCGTACTTTGGATTGTCTTGGCTTCCTCACTCTTGTACAGTCTGCATTGTGTAGTTAGTCGACTCTGATCGACAAAGAGCATGGTTGAAGCTACCTCTGTGAGACTGTGCTGTGCATATACGATTACCAGTACAGCTGGTGCCACTGTGTGTGCCTTGCCTGCACATGCACGTCAGACTTGGAATGAGAGCAGCGTTCAGGCGCTTTCATGTTCAGGCTTTGGATTACCGGTATTATTCCGCTGTCAGCAAAGCGGACATGAAAGAAACTACGGTATCCAATCTGCTATCTCAGTAACCCGATCTTACGCTGCGCAGTTTAGTTGCAGCATGCACAATTGCGCTCGCATCCATCACGACACTGAAAGAATGATTTGTCAGTGGCTTTTCCTGAACTGAAACAGCTCGGCCTGTTTGTGTGAGTTCGCAGAATGCACTATATAAGCCACTAGAAAACACAAAGAGCCATTGCATCAACTATAACCATTGTGCGAAGCTTGGGCGAAGCAGCACTACACTGATTGCACCCGTGCACCAGTGAGCATGCTGCTGCTCCCAAGCTCTGACATTGAAAGCAAACGTGAAACCCCTAAGGCCTCTTGCATCCATTCTACAGAGATTCCTGCACTAGCTGATAATGACCCATACCAGCCTAATGGTCAAGCCACCAACAACTTGATATCTGCCACTTCGTGTCTTCCATCTTTTCTTCCTGCCTCTGCTCTCGCCACCCATGCATCAGCTAACACCACCAAATCCAAGCTCCCCCAGGACCCATGCCTGCATTGAATCAGGGAAAAAACGACCCTGGTCCGTTCATAACGCCTCCCATGTTACCACCAGGCCCGCCCATCCCTCCGCCCATCCCTCCGCCCATCCCTCCCCCCATCCCTCCGCCCATCCCTCCGCCCATCCCTCCGCCCATCCCTCCGCCCATCCCTCCGCCCATCCCTCCCCCCATACCTCCTCCCATCCCTCCGCCCATCCCTCCGCCCATCCCTCCGCCCATCCCTCCGCCCATCCCTCCGCCCATCCCTCCGCCCATCCCTCCGCCCATCCCCCCGCCCATCCCTCCCCCCATCCCTCCGCCCATCCCTCCGCCCATCCCTCCTGTCAGAGGTCCACTGGGGATCCCCGATGATCCTAGGGAAGGGTTACAGGCACGTCGGCCTGGGGGGTTATGGGCGCACTCACCCGCTATATAAACAAGCCATTTTATCCCAGTGGTTAGTGACTGGGATTCTGACATGGTATCAGAGCGAAGGTCTCGGGTTCGATTCCCGGTGTGTGCACTTCGGGCATCCCAGTGCGAGGGGGTGTCAGAGGTCCACTGGGGATCCCCGATGATCCTAGGGAAGGGTTACAGGCACGTCGGCCTGGGGGGTTATGGGCGCACTCACCCGCTATATAAACAAGCCCTTTTATCCCAGTGGTTAGTGACTGGGATTCTGACACCTCCGCCCATCCCAGGTCCACCCTGCCCGGGTGCTGCCTGCGACCCTGGAGCAACCCACCCTGACCCGCCCATGCCTCCTCCGCCCATGCCTCCGCCACCCATGCCGCCTCCACCCATTCCGCCGCCGCCCATTCCGCCGCCGCCCATTCCGCCTCCGCTCATTCCGCCGCTGCCCATTCCGCCGCCACCCATGCCGCTGCCACCTATGTTCCCCCCAGGACCCATGGCTGATTGCGAACCGGGAGCCGAGGAACCAGGTCCGCCCATGCCCCCACCCATTCCGCCGCCGCCCATTCCAACGCCGCCCATTCCGCCACCACCCATTGCGCCGCCGCCCATTCCGCCGCCACCCATGCTGTTACTTGGCGATAGTCTCTGTTCACTATGTAGGTTGATAGGTTTCAGCACTTAGTCTCTGGATTTTCAGTTGGATATTCACTGGAAATGGTGATGACATTGCAAAACAGAACAAACAATTTATATCCAACCAATTCCAGCACTGTGCGACTCGTATAACGCGTCCGCCGCGTTTCATATCGCGTCGCACGCGAAACCGCGTGGTAACCGAAACCGACACCGAAACCAGCGAACCGATTACGGTGCGTTGTGGTTGGCCCAAACCCAACCACGAACATTCTCGATACTTCCTGCACATCGCGATTAGGTCTTCCACACGTTTTTCCCTTGCTTCCTTTCCATTTCTTCCTTGATTCTTCTCGAACTCCTTGCTGCCATAGATTTCTCCGTTTCGCACCGTTCATAGCTTGTAGATTAGATCCGTTAGGTCGTAGAGACGGCACCGTACGGCGCTCCGCGTGGCAGCCGTCATTCGGCGCTTGCGTGGCAGCCGCAAACCACCTCAACACATGCTGCCGCCACCCATGCCTCCGCCGCCCATGCCTCTGCCGCCCATGCCTTCGCCGCCCATGCCTCCGCCGCCCATGCCTCCCCTGAAAGAATCCGCCTCTGTTTAGCTAGCGCCACAGAATTAACTTGGCGAGCTAGAGGCAGAGCCTAGGATCGATACGACGGGCTCGGAGCAACGAAGCAGTAGCACTTTGAATCACTGAAAACGCCCGAGAATTGAGAGAGAACTTGCTTATAATATGGAGATGGGTACACAAGTCTTGGAAGGCATGAACTCTCTGTTTCCTCTCTGGAATTTATATCTAAAACATGCAATCTCAATTGTAACATCGAACCGCGCGCGACTCGCGGAAATTTGGACTTGGGACGTCGAATTTCCGCGACCTCCGCGCTCACATGTTCGGACCTTGCCGAGTTCATTTCAACACACCAAATGCGTGTGTTACACGAAGTGGTAGCGAGTGTAGCGAATGGTTCAAAACCTTCGCTAGAACTCTCGCTATTTTCGTGAGAGCTTGTGGGGCTGCCAAGTGTAGCCCCCACAAAGTTTCGGACCCAACCGGGTGAACTTTGGTTGCGTGGCGACGCGGACAATCCGCCGTCACCCCAACCTTCCGTGAAAACACCCCCCCTTGGTCCGAGTCAAGGGGGGTCTTAGCGTGGGGGGCAATCCCGTCCCCCACACTTCCAACACTCCCCCTTGCACCCCACGCACACCTAAGCATGCAAGCCTACCCTAGCACAACATGCATGAAGAGCATCTCTAGGCAATGGCTTGGTAAGGAAGTCCGCGGGTTGGGAGTTGGTCTTGATGTAACGAAGCTCGACTTCGTTGTCTTCAACGAGCTTGCGAATGAAGTGGTGGCGGATTTGAATATGCTTGGTCCTTCCGTGAAGGACCGAATTCTTGGCTAGGCCAATAGCGGCTTGGTTGTCCACGTAGATGGGAGTGGGGCCTTCTTGTTTGTGCCCAAGCTCGGCAAGAAGACGCCTTAGCCAAACCGCTTCCGTACCACCACGAGTGAGCGCCACGTATTCCGCTTCGGTGGAGCTAAGTGCAATCAAGTTTTGGCGCTTGCTTTGCCAACTTATTGCACCTCCCACGAGGGTGAAGATATAGCCCGAGGTGCTTTGGCGGGTTGAAGGATCTCCCGCCCAATCCGCATCCGTGTAGCCTTGAAGCACCACGGGTCCCTTCTCGTAGTGCAACCCCATACGAGTGGTCCCCTTGATGTAGCAAAGGAGGCGTCGTGACGCTCGCACATGCTCGACCATGGGGTTGGAGACGACACGCCCAAGCACTCCAACGGGAAAGGAGAGGTCGGGTCGCGTGCTCACCGCGGCATACATGCACGACCCAACGACCGAGTGGAAGGTCTTGGCGCTCTCGGGATCCAACGGGTTCTCATCACTCACGGCCAAGGGATGAAACCCCGCTTCCATGGGTGTCGGTGTAGGCTTGCTCTCGATCATGCCGAAGCGATCCACCACACTCTCCAAGTACTTGTGTTGGTGGAGGGCGAGGGTCTTGTTCCCTCGATCACGATCGATGTGCATTCCTAGGTAGTGGGAGACGGCGCCGAGGTCACGCATGGAGAATTCGGCGGCAAGCTTCTCCTTCACGTCCGCTACAAGTGTCTTGGAATCCGACACGAGGAGGAGGTCGTCGACGTAGAGGAGAAGAACGAGCTTCTTCTCGTCCTTGTTGAGCACGTAGAGCGCGTGGTCACACTCGCTCCGCACGAACCCCAATGAGAGCAAGTGATCGTCGATCCTCGTGTACCACGCACGAGGGCTTTGCTTGAGGCCGTAGATTGTGCGCTTGAGCTTGCACACGCGGTCGGAATCGTCGTCGAACCCGGGAGGTTGCTTCATGTACACCTCCTCCTTGAGACGACCGTAGAGAAACGCCGTCTTCACGTCGAGTTGTTCCACCTCCAAGTCGAGTGCTCCCGCCAACGCCAAGAGGGTGCGCAACGTAGCGGACTTAGCGACGGGAGCGAACGTCTCGTTGTAGTGAAGACCCTCTTTTTGAGTGTAGCCTTGCGCCACCAACCGCGCCTTGTACCGCTCCACTTCTCCGTTGGGGCCGAGCTTCTTCTTGAAGACCCAACGAGAGCCAACGAGGTAGGCGCCGGGAGGCATGGGGACAAGCTCGTAGACGTCGTTCGCCATGAGTGAATCGTACTCCTCTTGAAGCGCGCGCTCCCATTCCGCCGCTTCCGCCGAGCTCATGGCGCCGTGGTAGGTGGACGGGGTGTCGGTGTACGCCTCAAGACACATAGCGTCTCCCCCTCCCTCATCGTCCCCCGCCACGAGAGAGTAGTCATCGAACTTGGAGTTGGGATGAGGGTTCCTTCGAGTGCGAGTGGATGCGAGGGTGGGAGTGATACGAGGAGGAGGAGACGAAGGGTCACGTTCCTTGGCATTTCCTTCATCCTCACTCACTCCAACCGCACCCGATCCATTCTCCCCCTCACTCGCACGAGGAGGAGGAGCCGTAGAAACATCATCCGCCTCATCCGCGGCATCCAAGGGTGGAGGGACGATGATGACCGAGGGCACGTTCGTAGACTTGGAGGGGAAGGTGTCTTCGTAGAACACCACGTCGCGCGACACCACGAGTTTCCCGTGCTCCAAGTCCCACACGCGCCACCCCTTGTGATCCGCGCTTGGACCCAAGTACATCGCCACCCGCGCCTTCGCCTCAAGCTTGGTCCGTGTAGCATCCGGGACATGGTAGTAGCACGTACACCCAAACGTGCGAAGGTCGGTGACGTCCGGCTTCGTACCGCTTAAGCCTCAAGAGGCGTCTTGTTGGGCAACGCCTTGGTCACGCACCGGTTGCGAATCCAAGTTGCCAACGTAACCGCCTCTCCCCACCAATGCTTCTCCGCGTGAGCATGGGAGAGGAGACTCCGTGCCGACTCCATGAGCGTGCGATTCAAGCGTTCGACGGCTCCATTTTGTTGAGGCGTGTACGGCGTAGAAAATTCGTGCGCGGTCCCACGCCCTTTCAACCAATCGCCGAGCTCCCGAGCGGTGTATTCGCCACCTCCATCCGAGCGAAAGCGCTTCACCTTGAAGCCGCTTTCCGTCTCCACATCCGCGACCCATTGCTTGATGGCGGTTGACGTGGCGTCCTTGTTCTTGAGAAGCCGAATCCAACACATCCGCGTCGCGTCGTCGAGGAGCGTGAGAACGTAGCGCGCACCGCCCTTCGACGCGGGAGTGATCGGTCCGCACAAGTCCGTGTGAACGAGCTTGAGAGGTTCGGTGGCGTTCGGCTTCGTGCTTGGTGGAAATGGCTTCCGTGCCATTTTCCCTTCGAGACAACCGACACACTTCCCATCATCTCCACTCGAGCGCACAAACTCCAAGCCGTTGACAATCCCCTTCATTGCCATAGCTTGAATAGCGTCGTAGTGGAGGTGGCCAAATCGATTATGCCACGCTTTGAGAGTGGTTGTCGAGGTAGCCGCTTGAGCCGTCGCCACACTTGGGAGGGCATCGAGCATGAAGAGTCCTCCCGTTTGGCGTGCCGTGCCGCGCCATCCGCCGCGCTCAACGCCATCATGGTTGAGAAACGGAGAGGAGGTTGGCGCCGAGCCCGGGAACCACCAAGACGTTCTTGATGGTGAGTGGACCGTCGTTCACCATGAGCCGCAAGTCGCCTTGTCCCGTGACGTCCAACGTGTCACGGTTGCCGAACATCACGCGCTTAACGGGAGCCTCCGTTGTCACGTTGTTGAGAAGCGTCGCACACGCCGTCATGTGTTGAGTAGCACCCGTATCGAGTATCCACGCGTCAACACCACCGACGCTCGTTCCACTTGCGACGAATACGAATTCCCGGTCGTTGTTGTCGCATGTCGCCACATGCGCACGCCGGTTGTCGTCGCTTGACGGCTTCCAATTTGCCGGCTTGACGGGACATTCGCGCCACCAATGTCCGGTCTTCTTGCAAAAACGACAAGCTCCGTCGCGCGTCCGAGCTCGATTGGCGTTGGCCGGTCCTCCTCGTGATGAGCTTGAGGCCCCTCCCGCTCGAGCTCCCGCGGTTGTTGCCGTCGTTGCGCCGCTTGAAGTGACTCGTCCCTTTCGCCTTCGCATCGCGAGAGAAGTGTGCCGCGCCAATTGCATCGCCATGCAATTTCGTGCGCCTCGCCTCTTCGTTGATGAGGCGTGCCACCACTTGCTCCTTCTTCCACGTGTCTTGCGTCCCATCCAACATCGTGATCACGGTTGACCACGCTTCACCGAGGCCCGCGAGGAGCGTCATGATCCAATCGTTGTCCTCCACGCTCGCGTCGAGTTCCACCAAGCGCTCGCCAAGCTCCTCCACGCGGTTGACGTACGCGCGCATTGACTCGCCGTCCCTCATCCGCACCGTGAAGAAGTCGAGGCGCGCTTGAAGCTTGCTATGAAGCGACTTGGAGACGTGCTCTCCTTCGAGTCGCTTCCACGCTTCACGAGTCGCGCCGTCACGGTCGATGCACGGACTCACGATCGGGACGAGTTGGAGGCTTAGCTTGGAGACAAGAAAGGCAAACGCCTTTTTGTCCTTACGCACCCACGCTTCCTTCTCCGCGGTTGAAGCGTCCGACGTGGGCTTCGATGCCGACCCATCGAAGAAGCCCCACAAGTCGCGCTCCATCATATACACCTTGAGCTTGAAACGCCACGAGGAGAAATGCTCCCCGTTGAAAATCGGCACCGCGCTCAAGTCGACAACGTGCGGCGTTGTCGAGAAGTCCGCCGGGAGGGAAGGGGTCGTTGGCGCATTCGTCGTCGACGAATTATCGGAGGAACCCATGGCGTAGCAACGATTGAGCGAGCACTCCTAACCTAGCTCTCATACCATGAAAGAATCCGCCTCTGTTTAGCTAGCGCCACAGAATTAACTTGGCGAGCTAGAGGCAGAGCCTAGGATCGATACGACGGGCTCGGAGCAACGAAGCAGTAGCACTTTGAATCACTGAAAACGCCCGAGAATTGAGAGAGAACTTGCTTATAATATGGAGATGGGTACACAAGTCTTGGAAGGCATGAACTCTCTGTTTCCTCTCTGGAATTTATATCTAAAACATGCAATCTCAATTGTAACATCGAACCGCGCGCGACTCGCGGAAATTTGGACTTGGGACGTCGAATTTCCGCGACCTCCGCGCTCACATGTTCGGACCTTGCCGAGTTCATTTCAACACACCAAATGCGTGTGTTACACGAAGTGGTAGCGAGTGTAGCGAATGGTTCAAAACCTTCGCTAGAACTCTCGCTATTTTCGTGAGAGCTTGTGGGGCTGCCAAGTGTAGCCCCCACAAAGTTTCGGACCCAACCGGGTGAACTTTGGTTGCGTGGCGACGCGGACAATCCGCCGTCACCCCAACCTTCCGTGAAAACACCCCCCCTTGGTCCGAGTCAAGGGGGGTCTTAGCGTGGGGGGCAATCCCGTCCCCCACACTTCCAACATCCCCCGCCGCCCATGCCTCCGCCCATGTTCCCCCCAGGACCCATGGCTGGTTGCGACCCGGGAGCAGAGGAACCAGGTCCGCCCATTCCCCCTCCAACTCCGCTGCCGCCAATGCTCCCTCCGCCCAATCTGCCTCCGCTCATTCCGCCGCCACTCGGCACACCACCGCCGCCCATTCCGCCGCCATCCATGCCGCCTCCGCCCATTTCGCCGCCTCCCATGCTTCCGCCGCCCATTCCGCCGCCGCCCATTCCGCCGCCACCCATGCCGCTTCCGCCCATTCCGCCGCCTCCCATGCTGCCGCCCCCCATTCCGCCTCCGCCCATTCCGCCGCCACCCATTCCGCCACCGCCCATTCCGCCGCCGCCCATCCCTCCTCCGCCCATTCCGCCGCCTCCCATTCCGCCGCCACCCATGCCGCCTCCGCCCATTCCGCCGCCACCCATTCCGCCGCCGCCCATGCCGCCGCCGCCCATTCCGCCGCCACCCATTCCGCCGCCACCCATTCCGCCGCCGCCTATTCCGCCGCCGCCCATTCCACCACCGCCCATTCCGCCGCTCTGCTGCTGCTGCTGGCCGGTCGAGCGTCCGCCTTGCGCCCATCTGCGCATCATCCCGCGCAGATTGTCCACGCGGAGCCCCGCTGAGAAGCGATAGGCCAACGCCGCGTGGAGAGACGAAACAAGAACAAGCGAGAGGAGGAGAAACGCCTTGCTCGGGTTACGGCGACGACGCTGCTGGACAGAAATGAGAGCCTCTGCGTCATTATGCTGGCGTTGCGTATGGTTCAGCTGAAATTCCACGTAAGATTGTTTTCTGAAAGTAGCAGGTTGGAAATGAAGAATCGAAAGCACCAAGAGAAAGCTTCAAGTCCAATCTTCACTGAAATGTTTGGAAGGTGGATGATGTGTTGCAAATGTGACCCAGCCCCCTTTTGTACCCCCGTCGCGCCGCGAATGATGCTGCACATGAAGATGATTTCCGCGCGGCGCGATGACTCGAGCCCGAACACTACAGTGGACCAATGGCTATCGTCGAGTCAAGCGCATGAAATTCGAGTCAACGAAAAAAAGTGTTGACCACTGTAGCTTTTGTCAACAGCCGACTCTTTCCATTCGTTACCCCGCAAAACGAAACTTGAAGAATGACGCATGCCTGATAGCATCGGATTCGTTATCCGCAACTCGTTACGCAACGAACACGCTGTTTGCTACGTAGTACTACGAATGGTTTGGCTATCATATTTTGTGTGGGTTTTGCAGCACAACCCAAACTACTTGAACCTATCCTGAAGTGACCCAGTGAGTTGGCTGTGTCACTTCCGGTGAGTGAGGTCCCGGGATTAATCCCCCGTGCCGACGTGTTCTGTCAGCCTCCCAGAAGGGGGTTCGCACGGCTCACTTTGGGAGTGGATATACCTCAACCTCGTTGACCCAGCGAGTCTAAACAATTGGGGAGGCGGGTTACGACTGACAGCCAGGTGTGGGTAACACCCAGAGGGGTTTCACCCCCTCCTTTGCCTTTACCGAACTACTTGAACCAATCAAGGTTTCATAACCGCAGATAGATCTGACAAGCAAGATTTCCAAGTAGACATGCGATATGCGGAGGTCACTCGACCAGGGCCCAAAATTGGTTTTGGGGCACCCTGCCATATCAGGGTCCCCCAGAGCCCTTCGCCTGACTCTCAGAGTGGATTTTTTTTTGCCCGGTGCTAATCAGTGTGTTTTGGCTAGTATCCTGTCTTTGTAAGGCTATTTATGGAACCACCCTGTTTGCTAGAGAAAATCAAAATGCCACTACTACTGTCTTCCCTACATGCAACCATACATAACCCACCACTAACAGAACATTACATCACTCATTCTCGGGTCCCTCCTGGTGCTCTGCACTTGCAGTTGTGTCAGGGACTGCTGCAGGGTTAAACTGAGTATCACTTGGGTTGCTGCCAGTGAAGTCTCGGATTGGCCGCCTGTTTCTGTCGCCACGGAAGATGCGTGCAACCTCGAACCAGTCCACGGTGTACTCAATGAGAGAGCAAGTGATGTGTCAGAGATGCTCCCCCGGCCCCACGTCTTGATAATGTTCTGCTTGCTGAACCCCCTCTCGCACTCCACCGTACTCAGAGGCAGCACAGCGACTGCTTGCCATAGGAGCATGATGTTGGGGTAGGAGCGCTGCCATTGGTCGTCGCGCACAGTGTTGCTGAGCGCCTGATGGAAACCTTCGTCATGGTGCTGGGAATGCATAGTCGATATAAACATCCAGAGCTCAGCGACAACCTTCGTGTAGTTGAAGCCTGAGGCATAGGGGAAGTGATTCTCATAGGTGTAGAAAGCGGCAGCTTAGTGTAGGGAGGGGGAAGGGAAGGGGGGGGAGGTGTTTGTCATTAAGAGCATAAGTCATGGGAAGCAGGCCGTGTGCAGGCTATTACAACAGGGTGTGACATTCATGTGTGCGCAGAATGAAATTTCACAGAACCAACGGGGCACAAACCGGGCAGGAACTCGCGGAAGAGCACATGGAGCTGCTTCAGCGAGCGCTTGAATGCCGCGACACGCTTGTCATCGTCGTGAAGGTACTTTGATAACAAGAAGAGCTTCGAGCCATCGAGGTGAGACAGATCTGTCAGGCGCTTCTCAAGCTGCTTGACAACCTCCCGCACAAACTTGGTCGACAGCTCGTAGCATGCTGTCGCGTCACCTGCTGTCGCGTCACATGCTGTCTCGTCACCGTCTGGGTCTTCATCGGCCAGAGGTCGCTCATGGAGCACGAACTCATGAGAGGATGGGGTCCCATCTTTGTCGACCCCTTCCACCTTCATCTTCCGCTTGTCGGGGTCCGACTTCCCATGTGCTCGGATGAAGGCAGGCAGATGCATCTTGTCGCCATGACCGAATGTGTGTCCCTCGGGGACACGGAAGTAGCGTTGGGTCAGGCGCATCCGCGCCTGCTCCGCAAGGTGTGCCACCAGAGTCACGTCCACCTGTGACGCATGTGCAATACGGAATCAGTGTGTGCCTGTTTGTCAATCGTAATTTCACATGGAAACCAAGCATTGAGCGGATTGTGATACATCAACATAAATCGTACTAACATGGAGTTGCTGGAACCAAAGATTGAGCTGATTTAGCTCGAACAGGACGTCCGCTAGGAGCCGCAGAAGCCAATGAAACTTGAACGACGTCGCCACTTCGTACATCTTCGGCGACTGGTCTTTCATCAAAACAATGGCAGCCGGGAGCACTTCCAGCAGACGAGACACGGCTTCCCCGCGAGATAACCACCGAACTGTATTGATGCCTTGGACTTCAAGGTTGGTTTGACAGAAGGTGAGCTGCAGATTCATGAAACGCGCATGCTGGACGTTGTTTTTGGAAAGAAGGGAGGCAAACCCGCGCACGACGTCGTCGACCATGTTGAGATCCTTCACGGCAGTCGTAGCATCTTTCGCCGCCAAAGCTTCACTGCACGACAGGGGATCGGTGGAGAAGGGAACAGCTTGCCCACGCATTAGTCTCAAACATGGATTGAAGCATAAATACAACCAAGCAGAGGAATCTGGCGAAAAACACAGCACATCATATAACGAACCGATGCGCTATGCAATGTGAGGAAACGAGATGAGGAATCTTGGCGCGGAGACGCGCGACCACGCCATTGTGAACCCCGACCATCACGCTCGCGCCATCCGTGGCGATGCCGACCATCTTCTGCACGTCCACACCAATATGCTGCAGGAACTGAACAACGATTGATGTGAGCGAAGCCGCGTCAGTCCGCTCGACCGTGAGAAGAGATAAGAACTCGGTCGCGACCATCGTTCCCTTGAAGAATGTGGCGTAGGTGATCAGGTGCTTCCCGTGGATGCGATCCGTACTCTCGTCGATGCCAATGCCGAACCACGGTGAGACGCAGGTGCTGCAGCTGCAGGTCTTGGAGGTCAGTCGACATCGATCTGATCTTCTCTTTGAAACCGTAGCTGCAAAGACGACAGACAGATGAGGACGGATTAGTAGCTGCCTATTGTACAGGCAATACAACATGCCAGAAAAAAACATATGCATTTACTTACTCCGTATAGTACGAGCCGTATCCACCTGTGGGCAGGGCAGGGGTGTATAGAACAAGGCGAGAATTGCACAGTCGTTTCACTGCATGCCATGTTCATCGTGCGGGTTCCGCCACGTCTTGCTTCAGTGATGCACAAGGGCAAGAAAGCAAGGGCAGGGAAAGGAAGGAGGGTTGGGGGAACCGACGACGACGAGAATTTCGATTTTCTTAGGAGGCATCGATGCGCACTCCAGATATTCTCCCTCCCATGGCGTGCGGCTGGCCCGCTCCACAAGTCGCTCTCTGTGTCACTCGCCATTCCTTCGCGTCTCATCTCGTCCGCCTTTCTAACAGGCTCAGAGGCTCAGCGGCCGAACCTCAGCCTTGCCAAGCTCAACCCTCCCTTCTCAACCTAACCACGTTTCCCAGTCGCCCCAGCCTCCGTATCCGGCGTCGGCCAAATCTCAGCCGCTCCAAACCGTAACCAACCTATCCAATGTGACCACCTCCCACTCCCCCAGTCGCCCCAGCCATGCGCAGCCTCCCCAAGCGCAGCCTCACCAAGAGCAGCCTCCCCAAGCGCAGCTGCGCCATTCAACAGCCATGCAAAGCCCCAGCCACCCTACCCAACCTTACCTCCTCCCGCTTCCCCAGTCGCCCCAGCCCTGCGCAGCCTCCCCAAGCGCAGCTTCCCCAAGCGCAGCCCCCAAGCGCAGCTTCCCCAAGCACAGCTGCGCCATCGGCCATGAGAGGTGAAGTCTGCGCCTCCCCCTCGGGTCTCACCACCCACTACCGCTCCAACCTTGCTGCTCCTAGGCTGATAGTCCCTCCTCGTGTTTCCCTGCCCAACGCGGAGTGGCTGTGGCGAGGGCAGGGCTGCTGCTGCTGCTGCTGCTGCTGCTGCTGCTGCTGCTGCTGCTGCTGCTGCTGCTGCTGCTGCTGCTGCTGCTGCTGCTGCTGCTGCTGCTCGAAGGTGGTTCGCATGGCAGCAGCGATCGTACACGCCAAATGTGTGTGTGGCTGACTTTCAATTTTCACCGGAAACTGCCCATGCAATTTTAGTCGCTTTCTCGGTCTCGCTCAGTTTGCCATGCATGATGCATTGTGCATGGTGCTTGGTGCATGGTGCTTGGTGCATGGTGCATGGTGCATGGTGCATGGTGCATGATGCATTGTGCATGATGCATGCTGCATGGTGCATGCTGTATGCCGCATGCTGCATTGTGCATGATGCATGCTGCATGCTGCATGATGCATTGTGCATGATGCATGGTGCTTGGTGCGTGGTGCATGGTGCATGGTGCATGTTGCATTGTGCATGATGCATGCTGCATGCTGCATGATGCATTGTGCATGATGCATGGTGCTTGGTGCGTGGTGCATGGTGCATGGTGCATGATGCATAATCCATGATGTATAGTGCATGAGCTCGAGCATCATGAGGGGGGGTGGATGGTTTGCCATGCGTGATGCCCCACACCCAGACCCTGAACACACACGCGTCGCATGCCATGTGCTGTGATGCATGGGGACATGGGCTTGAGTTGCTGCATGGAGACGTGCTATGGGCCGATGGCACATGATGAGGACAAGTGTTGTGGTCACATCACAGTTACACCCCATCAGCAGCACATCCTAACCCGCATGGTCGCACCCACAAGAGTGTTCATTGCTTCAGTGTGTGAGCAACAAGCCACACCACTCACTCACTTCACGCGGTATGCATGCACGCGACATACAAGCTCGTGTGTGTGTGTGTGTGTGTGCGCACGCGCGCGTGTTAGCTGAAGAGAGCAGCTAGGTCTTCCCTTGTAGGCCCTTCGTGGTGCCACGACTTTTTGTAAATCATGCCATGCAGCTTTGTTACTTTATGTTATAAAGTGGTCTCTGATTGTTCTCCACTTCGTCTCTCGTTCAGTGATGAGTGCGCTCGGCTCGCCTCAAGCATCACACAATTTTAATTCTTCTCCAAAAAGCACAAACATCACCTGATGTCACTCAGCACTCTCAAAAGCTCCTTCAAACCAACCCTCTCTACTATGTTCATTTGCTCCTTCACCCAATGTTCATTTGCTTATGCCGCCACACATCCCAATCCTCCCTCCCTCATGCCTGTCGTCTCTCCCCCCACCATGCGACAGACTCTTGGGATCTTCCCTCGGCTTCATGTTGCCATTTGAGAATGACCTGCCTTGCCACCGGCGTTTAGACTCTGCGTGCTGCTTTGAAACCCATCAGGCTGTGCCTCCGCAGCTGCTTTGCCAGCTGCTGATTCTCTGTCGTCTCTTGTGACATTCTCTCTTCATCCCTTGTATCCCCTTGGGCTGTATGCGCATTATTTGATTCACCTTCCCCTCCCTCGTTTGCACATCTCAAATTTCGGACCAACATTGTGCTACTACGTGCGCGCAGTGAGCTGGGGTGGCCTTGGAATGCAAAGCATCAATAACGCTCCTGAAAGGGAGGGATTCAAGCAAAGGGAGGAAAAAGAGGCGCAGAAGCAAGCATTGGAGAGTAGAATAAGCGCTCTGACTTTTGAGTCGACCAAAATTCGGCTCTCAGGCAATGGGAGGGGGCGGAGGCTCTGAAGCGCATAAGAGCCTTGGAGAGGGGAAAAAAATCTCTTGGCATGCAGGTGGCAGCGGCAATGAGAGAGGAAGAGGAGGCTGAGATGGGGAGAGCAGTGGTTTGGAGTGAACTGGAGTGGAGGAAATCAGAGATGGAGAACGAGCAGTGGTTGGTGAGTTGGTGAGTGGGAGGAAGGAGCAGGAGGTGGATGAGTTGAGGGAGCAATCGGCAGAAGCAATGGGCAGTGCTAACGGATGGAGGGGAGCTGGGAGGAGGAGAGGAAGGTGGTGGGAAAGGGTGAGAGGAGTTGAGGGAGGAGGAGAGGAGGAACGAGGTGAGGAGAGGGATGGGGTGAGAGAAATTGAGGGGGGAGGAGAGGAGAGGGGTTATGAGGAGGGAGGAGAGGTGTGGGGAGGAGAGAAGGAGGTAGAGGAAGAGAGGAGGGAGGAGGAGGGAGCGAGGGGAGGGACGGGAGATACATCTGTGAAGAGTTGGAAGTTGAGTAGCAAGGCACATGGTGAGGTAAAGGAAAGGAGCAGGGGCAGGGAGCACGGGTAGGGAGACCGGGCAGGGAGCAGGGGCAGGGAGCACGGGCAGGGAGACCGAGCAGGTAGCAGGGGCAGGGAGAAGGGGCGGGGGCAGGGGCAGGGAGCTAATCAGAGGAGTCAATAATGAATTTCCTAGGAGTTTCTACGATATTTTCTCTCCTCCGGTCAGGACAAGGTACTCTTGAATGAAGTCATGCTTCCGTGGAGTGGAGTGGAGCGAGTGTGTGAGGGGAATGTGTGGCTACTGTAAGGTTCCAATTCATTCACCTCACACCCTCGAACCATTCCATTCCGTTCCATTCCGTTCCCTTCCCTTCCGTTCTGTTCCATTCCATTCCATTCCATTCCATTCCATTCCATTCCATTCCATTCCATTCCATTCCATTCAATTCCTTTCACGTGACCGATATCCAGCTCTGTCATCAGCCGAGCTTCGCCGGCAACCTCAAGAGCATGTATATTCCTAGATACGCACATTGAGCTGTGATTTTGCCATCCTCTACTATGTATAAAACTCGGAACCGGAGTGCATGTCAGAAGATATATTGCATATGTTTTGTATGTAGTGTAGTCACATATGTGTTCTGTGTGGTAGTGCACTACTCCTAGCTTGCTTCTCATCTATTTGTACCTGTCTTCACATAGTGCAACCCCCTTCTTGCCCGGACTTCTCTTCCAATGGCTTGCCTAAACCCTAGTTCCTAAGTCTAACTATACCTATTATTTTAACATGGTATTAGAGCCTCTGCGCTCCTGGCCTGTGGGCCCCTATGCT